ATATAAACCATAAACCCAAAAATTTAAACTCTAAATCTACGATAAGTTAACCGAAATATATATGTTAAATTTTTTAAAAATATAACTTTGAAAATTAACACCATAGAGATGGGTCGACCTTTAAACCAGTACGGTTGGATGCTCCATACTTGAAAAGTAGATAATAGGCGCTTCTTAAGCTGCACCTCCCCGAGAACAACGTTCGACTTTCATGTGTTAAGTAGTTTTTAAAATGGATATCCAAAAAGTATATTTCTTAAAATTTCTCAATAACACTTGAAAAAAAAATTATTTAAATTATATGCTCCTATAACAATAAGAATTTAGATTCATAATAATTTATAAAACATCAAAAAAAATATACATTTTAGAATTATAATATTTTTATGATCAATTTATCAATAAAACTTATAGCCACATGTAAAAGAAAAATAAAAAAAAGTTGTGACTTTTGTCTTTTTGTGCCCATTCCACAATTTGACAATTATGCAACCGGTAACATACTTTTTTTTTTTAGTTGAATTCCTCAACATTCCACAACTTTATTGTTACCAGTTAGGGCCTATAAGTATAATGCTCTCTTTGTCCCACTAGATACATCCATTTTTTTCAGATACATTTTGCCCAACTGTTTATAATATGGGACAGAGGGAATAGTTTTCATGGTTTTTGTTGTTGTTTGTTAAGTTTCCTTGGCACGGTCTCACAGTCAGGCAGGCTTATACCATTACGCTCACGAGCAGAATCTTTGCTTGAGCCTTGCACACCTCCGTTACTCTTTAGGAGGCATCCGCCCCAGATAAACCTAAAATCAATTGATAATAGGTGTAAAGGCCTCAGTTCCTTATATCATTCAATGTCCTTTCCCATTTCCGATGTGCGACTTATCTTACACACTCTCTAGAGATTAAGGTCTTTTGGTCCATTAAACCTCTATATATCTTAAATACCCTTCCTAGAGATAATGGTCATTCTAACTATTAATCTTGCAGACCATCAATCTTAGGGTCGGGAAGTCGGGCCCTTTCTGGGCCGGGTCACGAGAGTGTGTGGTTCAAGCTTTTATACCATGCTAAGTTTCTTTGGCATATAACCTAAAACCAATTGATAATAGGTGAAGAGGTCTCAGTTCCTTATATATCGTTCAAGGTCCCTTCCTATTTTTGATATGGAATTTATCTTATACACTCTCTAGAAAATTAAGGCTTCTGTCCCATTAACCTCTACATATCTTGTTAAAAGTCTATTTATCAGTTCATTAGATATTGAAAGAATGAAAAAAAAATTGAACCGATTCGTGCTTATATAATGTGTAAACAAGTACTTAACGCATCCATTTGGACTACACTTGTATTTATGTTCATGATTGTATGGTCATTTAATTTGACAATTGCAAGTATATGATTATGAGGCAGTAGCCCATTAAAGGAAGCTTAGCCCAAATCGGCCCATTTGTATCTGAGAACTTATTAGGCATGGATTATCAAGATACTGAGATGGAGATGATGACATGGTTCAAACAATCAAACTTCATCTAAGTCGAGGGAGTATGTTTCAACGACATTTGTAGTATATAAGATGGTTTCCTAAATTCAAAAATTGTGACAAAATGTATCAAATGTGCGGCAATTTATTGATTCTGTCGTAAACCACTTCTTGTCTCTCTCTGTAATATGTGTGCATGGTGATTTGGATGTATAAAAGAGAGAGAAAAAAACATTAATCCAAAATAGATATTGATATGAGATATATTAAATATTGTTTATTTTTAAATAACTTATCAGGCAACTAATATTAGCAATCGAAAAGTCCACCGTTTGAAAAAAAAGATAGTGTCAACTTCTTTCTGTGTGTGGGGAATATAGTTTCTGCCTGCTAAAAATAGTACGCCTGAAATTATATGAGAAAAGTTGCCATCGACGATGACCGATTGACCGTATATCGGTATATATATTAGAAAAATCTAAACCGTTTCTAATTCTAATTGTCTCTTAAACTTGTGATTTGGACAATCATAACATTCTTATATATGTCAAATCAAGTCTATGGGTATACATTGTTTTTGTAAAAAGACACAACATTGTCCCGACAGAGCACCATGGCCTGTAATTGTCTTTTATCAAAAGCAATCAATTTTCGAATGATTTATGATCAGTCCCAACGATTTATTACAAAACCAACATTTTGGGATCAATAATGCCATGCTAATCGGTTCGATATTATACTGTCTTTAAAGTGAAGGTAAAGTAAGCAATTTTTTTTCCTTGCTTATTTCTTCTCAAGTTTTGATGATACAGAATATGGATAATATAGCTGACAAACGATAGAGAACAGTTTTCAAGGCAAAAGAGATTAATTCACATAAATTTCTCAAACATTGCAAACTACCAAAATAGCGAATTAAAAAGAACTATATTTAAACATGGACCGTCAACGTCTTGATAGATTTTGTTTAAAGCAGGAGCACGTTCCTCACTAACTCAGTTTTTGCTGCCCTACAACTAAACTCCCAACCAACTTCCATTAATTGCAGTTCCACCTCATTAAACAAATATGGTATCAAGAACCAATTAATCTCAAGTCTCAACCACTAATTCCCTTAAGAAGAGTATTTGGGTGTTTGTAGATCGTGAAATAGACCGTGGACGCCAGTTGTAAAAAGAAATAAATAGTAATATTAAGAACCAATAGTCCTGTACTTTCTTTGTTAACAAATTATAACATTCTGAATTGTAGATCTGATATAAATGGCTAAGTTAAATCTGTGACAAATAGTTTTCCCTTCGAATAAACCTTTAACAAAAAAATATAGAATTAAAAAACCCTTACAAGATCATGCATGTATGGCCACATAATATGTTGTTTGCTCTTTGTTTTAGCGGTTTCATATCATGCTATTTTTGGAATATGCTTGGTTCAAAATCGGCAATGAAGTCACTTGATATATAGGAGATTCAATTTCGTAGCTCCGTGAACTTATTCATCAATGCAAAGTCAAAAATATAAACATTTTAAAACTTTTTTGTGGGTTTAGGTAACCTTTTGTTGATACACATAGCTCTCAGCTTGCAGAAGAGGGAACTAATCGTTTCACAGATCAGACCAAATTGACTGGACTCTTTATTGCAATATAACTAGTATGGTCACGTTAATAAATCATTAGATCTTATTACAATGAGATTGACGTTAACGTATGATGTTACTTCTAACCAGAAAAGGTTAATTAACCGAAAAGGGGGTTCAATTGTAGTCTATATTTTGATTTTACTTTTTGCTTCTATATCTTTCGATTATTGACGCTGACGGGTTCACAAAAAGTTTGGATTGGTGCAGTATGCTTCACCATCATCTATAATTACTGTTATGTCGGCTTGCGTCCGCACACCCTACGTAAAATAAATTATGTAAATAAGCTACGTCGAATATGTATATATATTTCAATATTTGTATTTTTTGTGGGTTCAAAATATAGATTTGTATAAGAACTGAAAGTTTTTAACTAATTTAGCAATTCTGCATGTAAAGTAAAAATATATGTACTTGAGCACATGCATGCATGCTCGTTGTGATCATTACATGTCGAAGATGTTTGCGCAGAGAGATTAACCAAAAAAAAAGTTTGAGAAAGGAGTCCGCGTGAAATTAATGCCCTAACCTAACTCTACTAACTTACTTTCCATTCCTTCCAATTTAAAAATGGTTATCTTTAAAATGAAATATATGTATATATATTTTGTCGGTATATGTACGTATATATTTTGTACAGCTAATTGAATACACACATTTCGTTTTAAGGATACGATTTTAAAAATGGAAATAGTGGAAAGTAAGTGAGTAGAGTTCGGTTAGGCATTAATAGAATTTGCTACATTTTACCATGTTATTTATATATCTTTATAGTCATAAAGACAGTCCAAATTTAATTTGGATCGATCCATACGAAAACGTAGCTAAACTCTTTCATCAAATAGTTTTGGATCGTTGACTAATGACCATGCTCACTGCTATAGTTGTATAATCCGAAATCTGGTCTAATAAGTAATAACAAAATATGAAAAATATAACATCAGCCAGCCAAAAATACACAATTTGTATGATGAATTCACTCATGCTACCATAAAACTACACATTTTCACTAAGAATGCCATAATTATAAAAAAGATTCGTAAACATCAACCATTTTCACTTCGTTACAAAAAAATGAATTAATTAAGAGATCTATTGAGTTGAATTTCACATCATAATTTCAATTTGAAAAAGAAAAAAACTTGGAATTACATCAAAAACATTGCATTCTTTGCATTAAATTGTGATTTTTTTTTATGCATATAGAATGTTGCTCGTAGCCAATTTTGAACAGAGTTTTCCTTGACAAATTTGAAGCATTCTATTTATTTCATGATAACTAAGACTAAATCGAAAAGCTAAGTTTTGAAAATCCCAAGAACCATTAAACAGTAATACACACAATTCAAAATTTCCTAACAAAAAATTCTACCAATCAAACGATAGGGTCGATCGTGTTTGGAAATATTATATCAAAACCATCGTGATCAAGTTCTTAAAACGAAGTTATTTGTGAGACGACAAATCCATTTTCAAGAAAATACATTTTACAGAGTAAGTTTATCCTTTCTTTGACTTCATAAGAGATATGTCATTAAATTTTTGCACAAAATAAAAAATTGATGGCATTAACTATTCTCAGAGTTAGAGAACAAAAAAAATGATTTGTTTATTTTGGACCCACCGATCTGAAAAAAAACACAATGCCACAAAATTAACAGCAACTGAAGAAAGAAAGAAAATAAAACACACTTACGTTGCTCCGACTCCATATATAGACTCAAAACCTCTTTGGATTCTTCACATTTCACAACCACCACCACTCGTACACTTCCCATTTTATAAATACACTTACTTCACAAAAAAAACTTGTGTTAACCATTTCCTATACATAAAAAATAGTTCCTAACTATAATTGTTTTGTTGTGAGATAGATGGAGAGTTACCTGAGAAAATGGTGTTTGGTTCTTGTGTTGGTTCTGGTTTTGGGTTTAGGGTTTAAAGTAAAAGCAGAGCCTATAGTTCCATGTTACTTCATCTTTGGTGATTCTTTGGTAGATAATGGAAACAACAACGGTCTTGCTTCTATTGCAAGAGCCGATTATTACCCTTACGGCATCGATTTCGATACGCCCCGCCCAACTGGCCGCTTTTCCAACGGAAAAACAACCGTCGATGTGATCGGTAAACCCTTAGTTATAACCTTCTTTATTACAAAACAATAGCTTCTAGTTTCTTCCACAACTCCTCAAAGATTAGATTTTTCTGCTCTCAGTTTGTCTAACTAAACTATAGTGATGAGACTGGTATATATATTTTTTTGACTTTTCTTGTGGTATAATGAAGCTACGGAACTGGGGTTCGATAACTACATCCCTGCGTATAGTGATGTGAGTGGCGAGCAGATACTTCAAGGAGTCAACTATGCATCTGCAGCTGCAGGAATCAGAGATGAAACCGGTCAACAATTGGTAACAAGAACAACATTTTGACAAATCTCTCTCTGTTTTCGTTTAAGACAATAAAATTTTTTTTTTTTTTTTAATGTTTTGCTTTTGTGAATGAAGGGACAAAGAGTAACATTTAGTGGACAAGTCCGGAATTATCTAAACACAGTGTCACAAGTGGTGCAAATTCTTGGAGATGAGTATGCTGCAGCTGATTACCTTAAGAGATGCGTCTACTCTGTTGGTTTGGGAAGCAATGACTATCTTAATAACTACTTCATGCCTCAATATTACGCTACTAGCAGACAGTACAGTATTGAATCGTACGCTGATGATCTTATTAATCGTTACAGCGACCAGCTCAATGTAAGTTTTCTCGACTTTACTAATGTTCAATTTGATGAGACTGTGCGCTACGCAATAATTCATCTGTTCTCTTTTTTTTTTTTTTGGTGTGTGTGTCCTAGATCCTTATCATGGGATGAGCCATTTGATGAATATGACATTAGGAGCCTATACAAGTTTTAGACCAACAAATATGAATGTGATTTGGTTTAAACAGTATAAAGTTTCAAGCATTAGCCCTTATAAAGATAGGAGTCTTAAACAATAAGTCCTCTGTTTTTTGTTTTTGTTTTTGTGTGATCTAGATCATGGGATGAGCAATTTGGGAGTCTAAAGCAGAAATAGATGTTTCAGAACAATAGATAAGAATATAAAGTTTCAAGCTTTAGCCCTCTTAAAGCTACACATTTGGTTTTTAAAAAAACTCGAATTCTCAGAAAGAAATTTATCTATATGAACCACATTTCGGTTATAAAGTTTTTTCATTTTTTTTTTTTGTTTTGGGTGAAAATGTGAAGATTAAATTTTTCATATTTAGCTATCTAGTTCAATTCTGAATATACCTAACTTCTTTCACAATCTTTCTATCCGTGTTCATGAAGTTACTATACAATTATGGAGCTAGAAAGTTTGCATTGGTAGGAGTTGGAGCCATCGGATGCAGCCCGAACGCGCTCGCACAAGGCAGCCTTGACGGTAGAACTTGCGTGGAGCGTTTCAACTTGCCCAACCGAATCTTCAACAACAAGCTACGGAATATGGTCCATCAGCTCAACAACGATCTCCCTGATGCTAAGTTCACCTACATTAATGCTTATGGCGTTTTCCAGGAAATAATCGCCAATCCCTCTGCTTATGGTACACATAATTCTTCATCAATCTTAATATAAAGCGTCACAAAACGGAGATTGTTCTTGTATACTAAAAGGCTGTTCTTGATATCTATATTGGGTGTGAATGTTTTCAGGGTTTACGGTTACGAACGCTGCGTGCTGCGGAGTTGGAAGGAACGGAGGCCAGCTAACGTGTTTACCAGGACAACCCCCGTGTCAGAACCGGGATGAGTACGTGTTTTGGGATGCGTTTCATCCAACAGATAAAGCCAACACCATCATTGCACAGAGATCTTTCAATGCGAGAACGTCTTCTGACGTTGATCCAATTGATATCGCAACGTTGGCACGGCTTTGAAAGGACAGAGAATTATTCGGAGAGTTTCTTTCAACCAAAATGTATGATTTTCATGTTCTAAATTCAGTTCTTGGAAAAAGCTTCTTAAGTTTTGTGTGTGTACCCAAATAGTTCTGCTACTTCAGCTTCAATTTATAAAAAAAAATTGTTTTCTCTGTGTTGGTAATCATGTATTCTCGTTTAGAAATCAAATTACTTTCAGTTCTTATCTGATATCCGTCCATTGATGTCATAGTAAATCAAACTAGATATGTTTGATTCATGATTTATTGTCTTTCTCTTCTGTTTACCAAAATATCATAAAACACCAGTTTCGCTGAAACTAGTATAGTATATGGATAGGAAGTATGTTAAATTGTTAATTATGCTTAATTAGGAAGGTGTTTTTAGTCTGGGATCTGTTCGGTTTGGCGTGTACTTAATTAGCTTGTCCCACGTTCGCTTTTTGTATTATATTGTTCTAATCAAGACTTTTCTTGTAGTTTTTTTGGTATTTCCCACATTCACCTTCTGGTTCACTGTAATTTCTGTCAAAAATTGAAAAAATGGTATAAAATTTTCACATTTTACCAAAAATTGTTTTGGTTAATTAAGTTTGATCATTTGATTTTTTAATTACTTCAATACCTTACTAGAATAAAAAGAATCCATTAACCAACGATGAGTATAAGTTAGCAAGAAAGAAATAGCAACATTCAATCATCTATACAAAAGTAAGATATATCAAATACGAAAAATGATTAAAAAGAGATACCAGCCTACCATCCATATTAGGTGTTTTAGGTGTTTACACAAGTTATACTCATCGTTAGGCTGGTACCATCCAAACATGTTCAAGAATTCATTATACAAGTTACATCATCCTAGATACCAGCCTACCATCCATATTAGGCATGGGAATTCAGGTTTCAGGTTGGGTTCAGATTTTTCAGATTTTTCGGATTTTCGGTGTCTCGGCTTCTGAGTTGTCGGATTTAAAGATATAAAAGTCGGTCGGTTATTTTTGAATTTCTATTAAGGTTCAATTTGGGTTTTCTCGGATCCGGATCGGTTTTCGGTTGTACATAAAACCTGAATGGTTTTTTGTTCGACTCAATTCGCGGTTTTTGGGTTTGAGTTTTAAATTTGTGAGTTGAAAGATACAAAAGTATTTTAAATTAAGGGTAAAAGCCACAGGCCTAATCCATATACATATACTCCAGGTCATGGGAAGCAAGCACGTTTTTTTTTTTATACATATAGTTTGTGTTCTAAAACTCCGGCAAAACGGCCGAGTCCTCGGTGGTAATGCGCTCGGCGGCCTCCTACCGCCACGAGTTTGCCCAACTCGGTCAACAACTCAGAAATTTTGGAAAAAATTCGATTTTTCATTCGCTTTGATCTTAAATCACCAGTCATGTGATGGATCTAACATTAATTATTAAGAAAAGTAGATAAAAGAAGAAAAAAATGATGAAAACTGTGAAAAAAAAAGTAAGAGACGGCGAAATTAGGGTTGCAGAAATTGTTTCTCTGAGGAAGAAGACAAGGGTATATTCGTAATTTACCGGTCATTAAAACTAAAAAGGAGAAAAGCACATTTAAATGAGCACTAGGGGAATCGAACCTGCGTGTGGGGCAATATGTGCGTGATTATAAACCACCAAGCCATGTGTTATTATTGTGTTCTCCCACCAAAATATTATTATATAAAGCTGGATGCGCGTGACGTGGTATAGGATCGCGACATGTGTCACTTTTAAGATTATGTCCGTTAAGATCATGACACGTGTATTAGGAAAAATTTTTTTCTCTTTTTTTTTAAATACTAGATAAAAGGATAATTAAAAAAACAAAATTTAATCTATTTTATTAAAAAAATAAAAATTAATATTTGTCATATCCTAGAAAAAGTTTTAATAATGTAATAAATAAAATCCTATTAGTACATGGAATAGGTACATAAACTAAATTTCCTATATCTGCAAGGAATATGTTATATGAACACCTATAAATACAAAGTTACAATAATCTATTTTTTCTCATTACAAACTCATCAAATTTCTCTGATTCTCTTTCTCTAATTTATAAACCATGTCTTTGAAAGTTCAAGAAAACAGTGAAGATTATTTGACCCGAGGTCAATTGGATCCTATATAATAAGATAGTCATAACATTGATTAACATCAAAGTTTTATTTTTGTTTCAAACAGGAAAACACAATTCAAGTTTTTGTGCATCATTCACTACTTCAAAATTTCGGAGATCGGATCACCGAAGGAAACATCGTCGAAATTCGAGATTTTAGTGTGCAGTGGAAAAGGAAAAACAGTTGAAAAGGTTATTTTTGTCATAGAAAAAAATAAGAAATAATAAAAATATATTTGTCATATCCTAATAGAGAAAGGTTTCCATTCATCAAATTAATATTATCCAATCAAATAATAAAATCAAAATAATGTAATAAATAAAATCCTATTTGTACATGGAATATGTTATGTAAACTAAATTTCCTATAACTGCATGTAATAGGTTACTTGAACCCCTATAAAAGAGAGTCAATGTTTCTCAATCATAAATTCATCAAAGCAAATTCATCAAATCCCTTTGATTATATTTCTCCAATTTAAAAATCATGTTTTTGAAAGTTTTGCGATACATAGGATTTTTATAACTGACAAAATTGCAACATGTGTTTTAGAAAAAAAAAACAAATTCTGGAAATATGAAAATCGTAACATGTGTCATGGAAGAAAAATAATAAAAAATTTAATATGTATAAGACTAACTAAAAATTAGAAAAACAGATAACAAATAATTAAAATGAAAAAATAATACATCCATTAAAAGTAATAAAAAACAGGAAAAAAATAATTTAAATTCTTTTGTTACATCTATTAAGAAAAGGAAAAAAATCCATTTTTTGTAAAAATACTATATAGTATTTATAATGGTCCGAGGCAAAAACAAAATTGAGAAAGAAAAAATATAAATAGAAAACTAACAAAATAATTATCAAGCAATTAACTAATATTAAAAAATTATAATTGATATTCTAATTTTAAATAGTTTGATTTTCAATTTTTGTTAGGTAAAAAAATAAAATAAAGATTTCATTAATTAAAATCTCTTGAATGGAATAATAAAAGTTTGATTAATTAATCAGTTGATCAGATTTAGACATGTGTAAGTCTTTCTGTATTGGATAAAAATAATAGTAAAACAAATTAATTCATTTTGTCATATCATAAATTGAAAAGAAAAATCAATTACAATAAAATTGTAAAAGTATTACCAATCTTATTTTATTTTAAATATTTTTTGTTTACGTTTAAAAATGATCAAATTTTGTTTAATATTTTTCATGTTTTTATTATAAAATCTTAAAATATACCCGCATATATGCGAGTCTTAATCTAGTAATATATATATTATATATGATCAAAAATAAATCGCCGAGTACTCCTTCATTTATTTTCGATTTTTGCAAAAATCGCTACTCCCTAGTACCGCCCACGGCCCACCGAGTTTTTGAACACAGCATATAGTACACATTCTCTATCGGGCTACATTTATAAAACCAAGCCCAAATAGTTATCAATCATTATTACTTGATTTTTGTATCAATCTCATGAGATGTTTTTTTTTTTTTTTTCTGATCAAGTCTTCTGGATATATACTCTAGCTTGGTTTTTTTCCCTTTACGCTTTCACATTTACTCTAATAGTGTCTAATTAGTATTTATGTTTTGAAAATATGACTTTTAATGACCGAAGCCTTTAACGATGAATTTATATGTCACTATAATGATTTAGTGGCAAAATGGTATTACATTTGGTTAATTGGGAAATATGGCCATCACTTATTTTGATGGGTCGTTATCTGTTGAATCTTGAATATATGTATATCTTCGCATATATCTTTTTTATATATAAGAGTATTCATAACTATCATCATAAATTCGCAATGTGACAATCTTTTTCTTATTAATTACATTTTGTTTTATTGTTAACATTGATGTCCTCAATGTTACCAATATTAATTTCTCTTTTTCTTGAGCTATCAACCTAGATGTCAGGAAAACACATCTTGGATCAAAATTAGTATAGACGAACCAGTAAACCACCAACCAATTTGAGTTAAAATCGGATCCTAAACTACGTTAATACACATCAAATAAAAATTCACCCTGTAACATAACCTGCAATAAAATTATATAGTAAATGTGATATTGTCGTAAGCTAAGAGTTACACCTACGATCTTAATTGGAAAGAGTTGGAGGGGACATGGAAGCAGCACCGGCCTTGTTCAATTATGATACCACAAGTCGTTGATTTAGTCACAAAGACTTCACTTTTCATTTAATGCACAAACCTAATTCTTCACCTGTTTTCTTTTCACCAATTCTCCTCCATTCTAAATAACTAGGTTTGAAACCCCGCGCAAGCGCGGGGTTGTTTACGATAGTTTTTTTGTTTAATTTTATTTATACTCGTTGATTTGAAAAAACTATGAATTATTTGTTTTTTATTTTAATTTATTAGGATATTAACACCCCGCTTTATCTCGAGTTTTCTATTTCTAAAATTTATCATGTTATAAATATTATGTTTGTTTACTTTTTTTTTTACTTATATTAGACTGTAAACATGTATATGTATTTGATTGAAGGTTAAAATTTATAAATATGTATATGCATTTGACTGAAGGTTAAAATTTGTAAACATATTCTTGTTTTTCACTACAATTAAATTTACATATAAAACTCCATTTCTATTTGTTTAGAAAAACAAACTCTAACTCTAATGTTTCATTAGCTTTCTATTATCTTAATTAATTTATATTCAACCTTTTAACTTGTAAACACATTATAACATTTTTAAATACGATAAATCCTTTGAATAAAAAGGTAAATATATACTATTTGAAGTTAATATTTCTTTACTCCATCTCTATTTTATATTCAACTTTTTGATAACTTTTAACATCAAATTATCACATATTTTCTATTAATTAATTTATTTATTTATATTTTTATTAAATATGAATAAATGTAAAGAAATATGAATAGTCATATATTTAATAAATAATTTAAATACAATTTAATGTTTTTGTGCTGATGTGGACACTCTAGATGGAGAGAGCAACTCTCCTATTATATATAAGATTGAAATACTTTAGTTTTAGAGATCTACTCCACAAAACAATTGCATCATTTTTATTTTTGTGATTTAACTATATATATACGCAACAAGTGACACCAATAAGATTGTAACTATTATTAGTACAATTTTATTTCTCTTTCGTATTTATCATCCAAGTTTCAAATTAGTTGTACGCGGAAACAAATCTACCTCTGGTCAACGGTCTCAGAAGCACAAGTGGCTTTGTCAAACGTACGACTTTTTTTTCATACTGCAAAATATCTTTATAAAAATCTAGAAGGATTTAGACAACTAAATTCTAAAAACAATTATTGGAAATGAATCTTTATAATTATGCTGTAAGATATTGAAGGTAGCAAAATTATCTTATTAGTATGACTAAGAGTTATGTCTAACTTTGATAATACTGAACAAAAACGGAAAATTCAAATCGTTTTCTTTTCAGTTTTTGTTTCTTCATAGCTCCTCACCTCCTCTTATTATACTCCTTAAATAATGATGATCATTAGTCTGTGATTAATGCCGGTGCGGTTGTCGGCACATACATAGTAAGATGAAAAAAAGCCCTTCATATATCAGTCTTAATTTTGATTACTGATTACTGAATGAGATAGAAGAACCAAAAAACAGTTTTCGTTTTTATAAAAAAAATTGGACCCACCAATCTTAAAGTGAGTAGCCCTACAAAATTAAAGCTACAAAAATCAAAACGTCACACACATGTCTATATAAATACACACAACTTTCTCTGGACTTACTCACATTCACTACACTTTCCATTTCTTCCTATCCCATCTTTACTAAATAGATTTTGGTTCTGGAAAATGGAGAGTTACTTAAAGAAATGGTGTGTAGTGTTTGTGCTGTTGAGCTTAGGGTTTAGTGTGGTAAAATCACAACCTCAAGCTCAAGTTCCATGTTACTTCATTTTTGGTGACTCTTTGGTCGACAATGGAAACAACAACGGTCTCGTTTCTTTTGCAAGAGCCAATTACTTTCCTTACGGCATCGATTTTGGGGGCCCCACCGGCCGTTTCTGCAACGGCAAAACCACCGTTGACGAGATCGGTATGCGTCCTTTTAACTCTAGAGTTGTTGCTAATTACGTGATTAGCATGTCAATAGTCCTAATCTAACAAGGGCTTTGAAAATCTTTGTTGATGTAATGAAGCTGAGCTACTTGGATTTAGAGGCAACATTCCTGCGTATAGTGATGTAAGAGGCCAGCAGATACTTCAAGGAGTTAACTACGCATCTGCCGCTGCTGGAATCCGAGAAGAAACCGGTCGACAATTGGTAAACTTAATCATAACAACATATAACTCTCTTCATGCATATATAAAATTAAAAGTTCCAACCTTTTAATGTTTTTTTTTTTTTATTATTTTTTGAAAAATAAAGGGACAAAGGATAAGCTTTAGTGGGCAAGTTAGGAACTACCAGAGCACTGTACAGCAAGTTGTGAATCTGTTAGGAGATGAGACTCGTGCAGCTGATTACCTCAAGAGATGCATTTACTCTGTTGGCTTAGGAAGCAACGACTATCTCAACAACTATTTCATGCCTAACTTCTACTCTTCTAGCAGACAGTTCACACCTGAACAATACGCTGACGATCTCATCAGTCGATACAGAACTCAGCTTGACGTACGTTTTTTTATCTTCTCTGTTTTTGTTTTTGTGTCGTTAACACAAAGTTGCAAGCTTTGGCTCTCTCGAGTTGACCCATTTGGTCGGAGTCTATAAAAGAAAACTCGATTTTTAGCTTTCCTATTATGGCCCATGTGCTTAAAATTCGACTTTTCGGACAAAGAGTTTCCAAAATTAGCAATTTACAATAAATATCTATATATTTGTGCAGGCACTATACAACTATGGGGCTCGAAAGTTTTCACTGATCGGAGTTGGAGCAATCGGTTGTAGTCCTAACGCGCTCGCGAGAAGTGGTGACGGAAGGACTTGCAATGCCCAAATCAACTCAGCGAACCAAATCTTCAACAGCAAGCTCAGATCTCTGGTTGATCAGCTCAACAACAACCACCGTGATGCAAAGTTCATCTACATCAATGCTTATGACATTTTCCAGGACATGATCAGAAACCCCAGTAACTTTGGTATGCACACACACACACCCAAGTTGGTTTTGATTTCAATGTTGAAAAAAAACAGAACTTGACATCGGTTCTGTCGGAAATGTGTTTTTTTTTGTTTTTGTTTTCAGGGTTTACGGTGACGAACGCCGGATGTTGCGGTATCGGGAGGAACGCTGGCCAAATCACATGTTTACCGGGACAAAGACCGTGTAGAAACCGAAACGCGTATGTGTTCTGGGACGCGTTTCACCCGACCGAAGCCGCAAACGTGGTTATCGCAAGAAGATCGTTCAACGCGCAATCGCCTAACGACGCTTACCCTATGGATATCTCAGCGCTCGCACGTCTTTGAAGAAACAGAGAAAAAACAGAACTAAAAATATAAAGTTCCACAAACTAATGTGTTATTGAATTTTCTCGTGTAATGCGTTTTCATATTTTATCTTCTAAGACATAAATCGAAAATTGAGTAAAACGTTATTTTATATATAAACATTAAACAAACTCGGTTTTTTCTATTCGAAGCACATTGTTCACGGAAATGGAGCGTTACGGTTCATTTCCACAGTCGCGATATCGAGCACAAAACACTTACCGTGTTGCTTCCAGTAGTCTGCTATGGGATTGATCCATTCCGGTTCAGCAATCTCGGCTCTCCGGTGCTTCAGTTCATCAGTTGAAATGTTGTACTTGTCATTTCTGGTCTTCACCAACTCGGGCCTTATTACCCCTTGTCCCACCCCTTGTGGTGACATCATTAGCTCGGGTGCACCCATTGGTAACTTGTCACCTACACAAGAAACACACACAAGAACCAATGATTGTTTAAAGCAAACTAAACCGGAACAAATCTGATTAATTTTTGGTTAAAAAACGATCAATTTAACCGGATAACTACTCCGTGATTGTTAACCATACGACTAATCGGTTTATGATTTCATTCAAACGGGATACACAGAACTGGTCCGGTTTAGACCGGATATTTAGATCGGAACATTTGTACGATGTTTGAAGTTCTAACTTCTCACTTTTTTTTTTGTTGGCGGCAGTTCGAACTTCTAACTATAAGGTTAATCGGTATACATTACCTAACAGAAACGGTTTACATATAATGAGTCCGGTTTAGGGACGAGACATACCTCGGTCTATATGCCAGGTGCACCAAAACTTCCCGTACGTTTTGGCTATGTTCTTGAGCTCTGGAGCAGCCACAACCTCAGGCAATCGTGGATAAGCCCACGAACCGGACTTAACCTCGTAAGCATGAGAGTGCCAAAGCTTTTGCTCATCTTGAGGCAGATTTTCATATAATCGGTCCGATATTACATATTCTATTCCTGTAAAATCAGATTTATTATCATAAGCTTTCAAGTTTGGGCATTTGATCAGAGGTGTTAAAAAGTACCAATGAGAGGTGCATCGGAACGGTCAGATGCGTAAACGGCACACTGGAGAAACTCATCGTTGACTCGGTGGACGTAGTGGTGAGTCTCTATCTGCCTGGACATATCTCCACCGTATATGGCAAAAGTAGAGACATGGCTGCTCATCTGCTTCACCGGTAACCTCCTCTGCATGATTGTCGTCCCAGCATCAATCAAACGTGTTGAAACCGTCACCGGATCTCCGGGAGCCACATGATCTTCGCCGCCGCTCGAAGCCATTCTTGATTTTCCTCTTTTCTCCCAAATTTTGTGTGTTGTAGTATTTGGTTTGGTTTCAATATTCATATGATAATTAGACTATTTTTTTATGATGGTTTTGATACATGTCATGCATGCATACTTCATAGAAACGTGTCATACACCGACCATGCTACAATTTACATCTCTGATTTAATAAATTCTTCTACAAAACCAAACCGGACCAAAACTTAAATACCAATCCAAACCAAAATAAAGTCAAAACCAAATCGAACCGGAAACATGTACAAAGAAGAAGAAGACTCGGCGACTCGCGCTGTGCAAAGAATGCTGACGGTAAAAAAATTTCCCGGCCGCCGGAGAAAAACAAGATCTCGTTTGAACCTCTCAATAATTCAGCAAAGAATACTTGACACGCAACACAATCTTACCCTTCTCAACGCCTAGCTTTGCTCCAGTGACAAGCCAATGTCCAGGCAAATCCTGTGGTCCTTTCAACATCTCCGACGAATCCACGATCTTTGCTAGCTTCCCTGATTGCCCCGACACGTCCTCTTTCTTCTCCTCACTCGAACTCGACGTAGAAGCACCTCCCGGTTCTACTCTCCCCGTGGAAGCAACCGGAGTGTGGTCCCAGACAGACCGTCTTATCGTGCAACCGGGGACTTTAGAGAAGAGCAGCTTCAGGTGCAAAACGTTCTTCGACCCGAAATCCCAAACACCGAGCTGAGCTCCGGTGACAATGTGAACCCCCGAGAGATCTCCGATGTGGGTCTCGTTGTGCTCGATCGGAGAGGTGCTTACGTGAGAGAAGTTCTTCCACTTGATCGGCTCGAACCAGCGGCTGTCTTGCTCCTCCGGTCCTTGCCATTTCGGTGCACCTATAGGCACGTGAGAGTCCCAATGTGGCTGCAAGATTTTTGGGAGAGAGACTAAGTGTTGTAAATGGATAGAGAGACGGTTCACTTTGCTTCCTTCTAAGCTTAGCCTGAGACCAGTCACCGGTTTACGACCAACCGTTACCTGAAAGTAGACAACATCTTCAGTTTTATCCATAAACCTAACCAAAAAGAATCTGACCTAACCGTTCTGTCAAGTTACCTGATCAGCACTGACGAACAGTTTGGGACCCATTAAGCTGAATTGTAGAGATTTACACACAGGCTCTTTCCTTTGGAGGCTACTCTGCTCTGGAGCCCACGCTCTAGCTATTTGGAAGTCCAAGAAGTATTGTAAATCTTCTATAGGAGGCTTATCTGGTTAAAGACGTCACGAGATTGTTATGTTTTAAGAGGATCTGACAAAGGTGGATTCGAATATAAAGAAGCTCGACACTCACATTCCAAGTAAAGCTCGATGGCACGAGTCAAGTGACGTAAACCAGGCACGCCTTCGAGGAGAGAAACAATGGGAGTGAAAGTCATGTTGATAATGTCTGGAGCTGCGTGTACAGTCTCTGCCCAACGAGCATGGCTCTGCTCAAGATCGTCTCCTCCTCTTCGCCTGAATATTACTGTAATATCCTACAGGAGAGAGCTTTTTCAGTTTTTTTTTTCACCATAGGAAAAATGAACAACAAGACTAATCTTTTACTAACCTTATCTTTGTATTTTAAGGGACCAGTGATCGATTGGCTCTCCGCTTCGTGAAACCTGTGCTCCATCATGTCACTGACGTAGCTCTCGATCTCGGATACAGGTAGAGGAGAAGACTGGTGTTGTCTTATGTAAACCACGTCTCTTCCACCAATCGTCACCGAGGTTACAATATGCGTCCCGTAGTTTTCGATAAAGCTGTAACCAGAGAGGAGGACGTTGTTGATACCATGTTCATGTATAACCAACGAGATTAGGATGTATAATAATATACCTAGCTAAAGAAGCTGGATCCCAAGAGGAAGGAACAGCGAGTCTGATCTCGTTGCGCAGAACCAGTTTGAGCTTTGCCAGTTTGACTTCGTAGAGTGGAATGAAGTATCCAACGAGTGCAAGAGACTTTGTGGAAGCTGCATCGACTTGCCAAGAGCCTGTGTAGTTGAACATTGCGTTGAAGCATCCGAGTGGTATGTTCCCTTTCACTCCTGATCTCTCATTGAAGTACTCTGCCATCTGCCACAAAACGAATGAATAACCACAAAGAAAGACAAGAAATGATACCTAAAATTCAAGAGCTCATCTCTGAAGAGAAATAGAAATCAAGAAAACTAATGCCAGAAACAGTACTACTCAGCACAAAAACAGACTACAAAAGGCACCACATGCCACAATTGCCCCCAAGCTCAATGTAGAGTTTCTAAATTTAGAAACGTCCAATGTTTAATTAAGCTGCTATGACTATGAGCTACTAGTTCCACAGATACCACAAGCAAGCAAGACAAGAACGATACTCTAAAATTCAAAACTCATTTCTAAAGAGAACAAGAAAGCAAGAAAACTAATGTATCAAACAGTATTGATCAGCACAAAAACAGACTACAAAATGTCAAGTTAAAGCTCAATGTAGAGTTTCTAAATTTAGAAAAGTCCAATGTTTAATTAAGCTGCTATGACTATCAGCTAGTAGTTTCCACAGAAATCAGATCAGGCATCATCTTGTTGCAGATGCTTAATCAAAGACAAAGACCAAAACAAAAGCAAGAGTTAAATCTAAGAATGGCATTTTCAACATGAGGACCAAGAAGAAGAAAGATATGTGAAAATCAATCACCTGATGGAAGCTGCAAACAGGGATTCGCTGGATGCAATTTCTGCCTCGTGAGCACTCGATATCAGCAGGGACGTCGGGAAGAAGATCTCCGTCGGACAGTTCAAGATCTCTGTTTTGTCCTTCTTCGATACGAACGAGTCTTGACCCAGGAGCTCCTTTGCAGTACAGAAGCCGAACATCTGATGTGACATCGAAACCGCGGCCTAGAGCCTGGATCGCATTGCGAAGCGTCGTGGTCAAAGCTTCCGAGCTCGAGTTTCCTCCTTTTCGATTCTCCATTCGACGACACAAATTGGATAACTTAACCCGAAGATAAGTCTTGAAAGGCGACGACGATGATGATTACAAACTCGTCTAGGGTTCGTCTGGGGAAGAAGAGAGATTTTGAGCTTTCGATTTTAGCCTCCCACCAACACCATTGCAGGTTTTGACTCCAATAATCGTAGAAACCGCGTTTCAGATTTTATTTATTTTTTGTTTGTTTTATTTTTTTCTTCTGTGTGATATCAAGAAGATTCTTAGGTTGACTGGTCTTTTTTCTTTGTTGCTAATTAGATCCTTTCTTCATTTCCAGACAGACAAATTCTTTGACTTTGTGTCTGTTTTTTTTTTTAATTCCCCCTTTTCTAGGGTTTCCGATAGTATCATGTCTTGTTCTTTAAGTTGAGCATATGCTTTTTCTATTTGGGGGATTACATAACATTTTACTTAGTAAAAAAGTGTCGTCAAAAGTTTAATTACAAACATTTCAGATATACAAATTGGTGCGTTTGCCATGTGTTGTTCATCAATCATCTCACGGAGATAAATTAGGTTCCCATGATTTTACCTTGTGATTTTTTTTGGAAAATTTCAAAATTACATTTTTTAGTAATATTTTTTTTTCAAGAGTGAAAGAACTCTAAATCCAAATCTAAACTGTAGATCCTAAAATCTAACATTAAATCTTAAATCCTATAATCTAAACCGTAGTTAAAGATTAGTGAACTCAAATTTAAATATTAAATTTAATTAGATTTAGATATTAAATTTTGAAAAAGTATAATTTTTAAAATTAACATCATAAAGGTAATCTTGGAAATTGACACCCAATAATTTTCATTTTTTCTTTTGAAAAATTAACTATCTTTTTTTAATAAATATGAAAGTATTTAAATATTTAATTAAATCTAAAACTTTTAGTATAAAATACAGTGTAGATATTTTGGATTGACGATCTATATCACATTAGTGTCATAATAGATACGGCTCAACTTAAGACTTCATGCTAAATTTCTCCAAAAAAGAGTTTCAATTCGACAGGATGATACAGATTTATAATTTTTTCTCGGAAAAATTTAGCATGGTGCTTTAGTTTGGGTTATACCGGCCCTGGGAGCAAGCAGGGCAAGCAGGTGCTTGCGGCCCTGTTTCTAAATAACAATTTAATCGGCCATATTTTGACAAAATCTCCTATAGCTTAGTTGGTTATGCGTGCTGTTATGTTGGTTTAAGGTGCAGAATTTGAATCTCCCCCTCTGCATATTAGGGTTTTTCCTTTTAAAATTTTCTTTAATTTATTAATTCATCGGCCCAAAATTACATGTAAAGTCAGGGATGGCCCTGTTTTAAACATACTACTTCTTCTCGGAAAATAGATTATCCTCCTAGGCATTTCACATAACATTTTCGTCCTAATTTTAGTGTTGGATTACAAATATGTATGAAATTTTAGTGCAAATCAAAATGTATGAAATTTAAAATCTGGTTCATGTGTTTCACTTTCATACAATCTTAAATAAAATATTATAAATTACAATATATTTTAATAACTAAAGTCGAAAACTGATTTATAATTTTTAAACTGTGCCTGAAATTACTTCATGAGCCCAAAACTCATCTCGACGCCTGAAATTTTGTTGAACATGGCCTCAAATGCAAGAAGCTAGTTAGACAGAACAGATCAGTGGTGGTGAAGTGATATTTACAAGAAAAAATGTTTTTAAATGGGCTCAGATACTTTTTGGCCTTTAGGCCCAAAACAATTCAAAGCCGTTCTAACTACAACGCGATGATAATTTTAGTCCTTGTCGTTTCGTTAACAACTACGATAACGTAGTATGCAAAATAAATGAAGAGTTAGTATCAGAGCCAGGTTTCGATCCTGGGACCTGTGGATTATAGGCCCACCACACTTCCGCTGCGCCACTCTGATTTATTGATGATAAAATATCAAATCAACTATAAGGAAATACACAACAAACACGGGAAAACGCCCAAAAAAATCCTGAACTTTATGAAATTTCACGTTTTATTCCCCAACTCTTGATTGCACAAATAATTCCTCAAAGTATGGTTGACTTTACCAAATTGGGTTTCAATTAGTCAACATTTAACATGGAATTGATTCCTTTAAATTTGTAACATTATCCGTCGGATTTTCAGTTTCAAACTCAAAATTTCCAAACTTAAAAACATAAAGAAAATTTTCCGGCAAACTTCGACGATTTTTAGCAAATTCCAACATATTTTAGTGATTGTATCAATTCAAAATTTGAGCTCCGAAATTGGTTGAAAATTGCTAAAAATTTCCGGAGAAAGCCGGAAATTCCCTTAAAGTTTTTAGATTTGGAAATTCTGAATTTAGAACTAAAAATCCCGACGGATAATGTTACAAATTTAAAGGAATCAATTTCCATGTTAAATGTTGACTATTGAAACCCAATTTGGTAAAGTCAACCATACTTTGAAGAATTATTTGTGCAATTAAGAGTTGAAAAATAAAACGTGAAATTTCATAAAGTTCAGGATTTTTTTGGGCGTTTTCCCCAACAAACACATCACTCACATCGTTCTAAACGTTGTGGCATGCTAACGAAATACATCGTCTGAGTAAAGAAAAACACGAAGATCCCAAATAATGAGAACACAGTAATGGTAGTAACTAGTAACAATAATCGTTCATATAGGTAAACAAACGACAGTGCCACGACAGTGCCTAATATGTATATCTACATACATCTGTGTATATACTCATGTACCAATGGTTGGTTACTTTCTAAATGATATCTGAAGATGGAGCTAAGATCTCTAGCGGCACGCCTGCGATGGGTTCCAACACTTGAGCTTTTGGAAGCTCTCTTGACAATAACTCCTGCATCCACAAACACTATCTCACCAATTCATCTAATATAAAACAAAACAAACATTTGGTTTGGGTTAAGGAAAGAGCTGAACCTTAAATGATTCAATAGTTCCTTGTTTCTTGACTATGCTTGCTAAAATTCCCTTTGCATCAAGATCACCATTTTGCATCGGCACAACAAACCTATGATCCAAGAAAAAAACCAGAGTATAGAAGTTAGTTTATTCAGTTGAGGTTAAAAAGTAAGAGGAGATAGAGATGATTGATTATTTACTTGGCTTTCAGTAGTTTGGCGAGCTGGACAGCGTCTTCTTGGCCAGAAACCAGAGTAAATCTTGGGAGAAGTTGTTTGATGACCGGTGTGATTACAATGTCGGCTCTTTCATTCTTTAGAGATTCCATGTTGTATACACAATGCGGTTCGTAGTAGAGAGATATCTCATCTTCAGCTGATACAAGAAGATACCTGAGAAGCAGAAATCAATAAACCATTAAGTGCTGCTGTCTATGGATAGTTTGGAGAGAGTTTTTCTTTGTTTTTTATTACCCGTTTTCAGGGCGTTGCCATGGTGGACCGAGGACAGGACCTGCTGTGGCTTTAACTCGAACCTTGGAACCGTTTCTTGCGTTAAGCTCGTAGCTATCTCCAGGTTCAAGATAAGTGATCTATACATAATATTCCAACAGCTATAATATTTCAATCTTTCTCATTTTCTTTGTTGTTGAAGATAGTGCAAATCAAGGTTAAGAAAGAAATGAAAACAAGTCACATACATTTGTAAAAAGAGGATCCAGCAAAGGCTTTGCATTTGGAGTTGCAATAACCTTTATGCCTGGAGATTTCTCAGAGATTGGCCTAAGGGTCTTTAGATGACAGTGATCATCAAGGCTTTGGGTTATGAGGAGGCAATCAACTTCAGGGAGATCATCAAGCTGGAAACGAATATAGATCTTAGAAACTTACAATCACAAGAATGAGAGAGAAGATGATGATGATGATGATGAAACTGCAACGCAAAAACTAGTGTTACCTTGAAGCCTTTCAAAAATCTCTTGGCAGCATCATAGAGCCATGGGATTCCGAAATCCAAATTACCAACGAGAATGGGATCAACAAGGATATTTAATCCACCGGTTTCCCATAGCCAGCTATTTCCCTAACTCCGCAAAACCAAGACAAGACATGTCAACAACATTTTCTTTTGGAACACACAAATGCTTGATCAAGTAGTAAAGATCCGTGAAAACAAACACCCCCACCTCCAAGTATGTCAGCTTGAACGCATCAGTCCCAGAGCCACTAACCCCAGTAGATCTGTCCTCAGACAAAACAGAAGATAGCACAATGAGAGACCGGGAAACAGGCGGCGAGAGCTTGAAGCCGATGGAGAGGGACCTGGAAGAGAATAACGGAAATGTGGATGCAGTTGGGAGTCTTGTTTTGGTGTTGAGACTTAGAGGAAGAGCATTGGCATTAAGTGGCATTGTGGCTGCTGCTCTGCCACCTGACACCACCGGAGCCATTGATTATGTTTAGCACACCTGAAAATATTCTGAATAAACTCGTTGAGTGAATTGAAAAGAGATTCACTTTGTTAGGAAGCTTAACTTACACAGTTTCTAAATCATTGAGAGTCAAGGACTTAGAAAGGCTATCAGGAAATGATATGTGCCCAAATGTGAGAGATATTGGGTTTAGAAAGATGTCTACTTTAGCTCTGTAATCTGCTCAAGTTTGGATTTTTTCAGTGTAAAAGAGTTCTTCTATCTCAGTGTTTCCCCAAATCTGAAACCTAAGGTCACTCGAGAATAGGAATTCATCTTTGAATTGTGATACAACTCTTTGGACTTGAGACTAAATTTAATAGATAACGTTTCTGTAATTCTTGTTTTATTAGCTCAGCAATATTCAATAGGAGAGTTTCAGAGAAGCGAAAAAGCTTAAATTTTGGGACGAGCATTTTAAAACATATGGGTCCAATTAAATTAGAAACCGATATCATCATCCCCAGTAATCAACATTTTACCCAGAAATTTTGTTATGCAACAATTAGGATGAGCAATTAAACAGCAAACTCCGGAATTAACAACTTATCAAAACTCGAAACTTTCATTGGTCCAGTAGCCGTGAAACCCAGAAAAATAGAAATCGGAGAGACGAAACAAAGGGATATTTACAAGTAATTAGAGAAACACAGAAGAAGAAGAAGAAGAAGAAGGAACCTGATCTTAGAGCTGAAGGGAGTGTTTAATCAGAAAGGTAGTCTTCATTTCTCTCTCTGTTGAGTGAATGGTTCTCAAGTCTCAACACACACAAATAATCTGCGAACCAAACCAAAAATACGCACAGAGAGAGAGAGAGAGGAAAGAATTGCTGTTATGCCATAAGTTGCGAAGAATGGAGCTGCCGTGCCATTCTCTAATAATTAATTTCTTTTTGATTTTGTTTAAATCCAAAAAACTCGCAAATACTTGTATGCCCTTAATCCATTTTAAAAATTACCAACCCAACCAAACTTTTACCCACCCAAACCAGATCCATCGGGTAACCCATCTAATTTAACAAGTATCTCCAATTATTAAATTAATCTATTCTTCCTCAATTCACTGTTGCCCATCGGATTCCGCTGTCTTATGAATTTGGCGATTATGTTGCCTGATCTCTTTCAGATTATGCTATTCTCTTTTTCTTTGATTTTTGATGTTCATGAATTATGATTGATGTTCATAAGATTGGATCTCTTCATGGTTCTCATGGTCAATCAACAGCCATTATTAGTTACAGATTTCCTTCCGCAGCTTCATACCGGAAGTAAAATCTCCTTCACCACCACCGCCTCCTTCTCACCCATAATCTCCCTTGGTTCCATCACCATCTCTACCATCTTATTCTTAATCTCCTGAACCAGCACACGTTACTACTCTATCCGTCGACGATGATGATTCCGAACCGGAAACAGAGTGTTTTCCTTCTCCAACGCCATCTCCGTCTCCGGCGCTTGGGAGAACCAGATGACATCAAAGCAAGCGAGAAGAGGAGACGAAGCACTACCTAGATGCGTCACTTTACCTTGATTGAGTCATGAATCACATTACCATTTAACGGAATTATCGGGTACAACTAGGTCTCTTAGGAACAACAAACAATTTCAGTACAAATGGTATTACTTGGTACAACTACGCCTTCAAATAAATTAATAAGTTTGCGAAAAATGAAAAAAAAAAACGAAAAACACGTGTTAAAAAAAGTCGGTCTGTTTGTAAAACACGTAAAACACGTTGCGCCGTAAAAAAAACACATAGTTGTACTCAAGGTAAAAGTTGAACACAAAACTATAATAGTTGTACTTTTGCGATTTTAGAGTATTTCTAATTGAACCTTGATATAAATTGTTATGGATTAGTTGTACCTATTATTTTTGGCTTTTAATTATCATTTACAATGTTTTCATAGTAACATTTGTGCAAAATTTGATATTTTGTTTCTTTTGTATCATTAAAGGTTAACATTACATATTTCTTCCTTATATTGTATGGGGTTGTTGATGTGAAAACATGATTTTGTAATGAAAATGATAAATTCATGTTATTCATAATATTAATTGCTTCTTTATTGTTAAAATGTGTTTAAAGTTCTTAATTGATTTATTTACTTACTATTTTTATAATTTTGCTTATTATTTTTATAATTGTTTAATTTTTTTCTAATAAAGTTGAACCACTGAAAATAGTTGTACCAAAGTTTTGTGAAACATAAATACATACAATTATTATAAGTACAAGTACAAATCCAACAATACAAATCCAATAATATTCATCTTTGTACCCTCGCAGTGCAAATTAGAGAATGTCAAACCCATATTCATTGTTTAATACAAATTCGAAAAATGCAAACTGATATTTGTTCTTAGTTGTACATATTATAACATGATTGTACAAATTCATATTAAAAAGTCATATTGATTTACGGGAAGAGCAGCTTTGCTCCAGCTCGCTACGGAAGAAAAAAAAAAGAAGAATTGTATATTTTTTTTTAATTTCCGTTTCTAATTAATTTTGATTTATTCTGTTTTTTTTGTTTTTTTTATTACTTTATTTTTCTTCCCAATTTCATTAAGGTTAAAAGAGTAATTTTACCTTCTCTTTATGTCCGTACATGGCATTAGACTATGCCATGGCACGCCAGATTTTTTTTCTTCTGGAAAATGGCATAACAGCCGCGGACGAGAGAGAGAGAGAGAGAGAGAGAGAGAGAGAGAGAGAAAGAGAGAGAGAGAGAGATATTAGTGGTTCGAGCGAAGTTCACGACGTTTCTTCAAAACGCTGCGTCTTGAAATAACCGACCCGGTTTAGAGAACCAAAAATCAAATCTTAATTTATTTAGTTATTAGGTGGTTGGCCCGCGGCAGCGCGGACAAGATATGTTTCAGAACTCCAATCATTTCAATTAATATTATTAATTTATTTTCTTTTTAATTACTTTTCATATTTTTTTAATGTATTTATTTTCCAAGAAAGTAATAGCTTTAACATTTTGTTAACTAGGGACTAAAGCCCCGCGCAAGCGCGGGGTTGTTTGCGATAATTTTTCTGTTTGATTTTATTTATATTCATTGATTTGAAATTTTGAATTATGATGGTTATATGTTAACTTCCATGTTTTGGTTATATTTTGAGTTAACCCAACAATTAACACTAACAATATGATCAATTTTTTTATTAAGATATTAACACCTTACTTCATCTCTATTTCTAAAATTTAATATGCATTTGACTCAACGTTAAAATTTGTAAACATGATGTAGAATCGCAATTGCACTCAAAATATGATAAAAACAAACATGTATAACTTCTTACATATATGCTTTGTTGTGGTAGCATATGACAATTGATTATTTTCTATTATGTTAGTTTTGTAAATATAAATTGTATTTTTGAAACAAACATGTCACCATTCTTAAAATTTTCATACTTTTCGTTGCAATGAAATTTAAATAATAACTCGACTTCTATTTTTTAATAAAACAAACTCTAACTCTAATTTTTTATTAGCTTTTTACTATGTTAAATAATTTATATTGTACCTTTTTTACTTGTAAGCATATTATAACATTTTTAAATAGGATAAATCCTTTGAGTTAAAACCTAACTATATACTATTTCAAGTTAAATATTTCTTTATTTCATCTCCATTTTATATTACAACTTTCTTTTAACTTTTAACATCAAGATATCACATACTTTATATTAATCAATTAAATTGTTTGTGTATTTTTCTTAGTTTTGTTTATGTGTAAAATAGGAATATATATAAAGAAATATTAATACACATATATTAAATATCTTAAATACAATTAATGATTTTTTTGCTGATGTGGATAGTTTCTCCTATTATATATAAGATTTGATATGAAATTATAAATTGTAAAAGCACAGAAAAATTAGTTAAATTTTGTAATGATTTTTTTCTTCTCCCTTTTATTCTTCTCTAATGATCTCATCTTCTTTTTCTTCCATTTTTTTTATTCGTTGTCATTGTTTTTTTTTTCTGCTTCATCTTCTTTTTTCAATTTTTGTTCTTCAATCATTTCTTGTGTCTTCATATTCTCCAACTTACTATTATTCTTTTTTTTCTAATTTTTTTTTACATTCTTTTTACATTCTTTTTCCAGTTTTTCTTCTTTCTCTTGCCCCTCTCTCTCTATCTTTATAATTTTCGTCTTCTCTAACATCATTTTATTCTAGGCTTTATTTACCTATTATTTGTCTTTTTTTCTCTTCACATTTCATTTTTTCTTCTTTATTTTCTTTTTCCTTTTCGAGTTTTCTTCTTCTTCTCAAAGTTTCTCATCTTCTTTTTTTACCGTATTTTTTTATTCTACTCGTGTTTTTATTCATTCTTGTCTACATCTTATATTTCACTTATCAATTCATTTGATAGTTTAGATTTTCAAGGATTCGTGAAATAGTTTTTATCTTTATATAATTGATATGTTTCAAAAATTTATTTAGTTTGTGTTTTTATCTTTTGATTATGGATTTAATTGTTTTAGGTTTTTCTATTTGTGAGTGTATTTTAGAATGGTAGATATAAAATTTATAATTAGTGATTTTTAATTTTGATATACTTCTATTATAATTCAAATTTTTAAAATGCAACAAAAACTAAACCCTACGGTCTACACCCATCAGTATCAACCATAAACCCAAACCCCACATTATAATCTCCCCTCCCCTTAATTAAAGAATGAAACAACCAACACTTTTTTTTATATAAATACTAATCAATTCTAGCGAAGGTCTTTAAAATAAATTAAATAAATAAATATCAATAACAAATAAATCAGTTCAGCGGAAGCAAATAATAATTAAACAAGTCTAGCAAAACAATGCAAAATAAATAAAAGCAATAAACATCCTATCATCCCCCTCTTCAGCCTTGATTCCGCGATCACACAAATCTTTTACCTGCAACACATTGGAATGGAGTTGCATAAGTATTTAATAAATACTTAGTGAGGCAATCACTCTGCCTACAGGCCATTTACGCAATTACTAGATATTTAATAATATTTATAAACTCCAATAATTATTAAATACCATTTTCCAATTATTAAATAATATTAATAATTAAAACTTCATTTCTCAATTATTAAATAATTCTCATAATTAAATAATAATTTTCCATATTTTAAAATAATTTAAATAATTATTTTAAGCCTTTAATTAATTAAACGTATTTAATTAATTAAATCCGAATTAAACAAATTAACCAAACTTTAACCAGAAATCATTTAATTTGAACGAGGAATCAATTTCCAATTGAACCAGACTGAACCGGCTGCGTCACCACACAAGCTTTGCATCGCCCGACGGAGACCACTTTGCGTCGCCCGACGCACGTCCATCAGGTCGACAAAGATATCAACAAATCACACAGAAACACCAGAATTAACACAGAAATCAACCAAACATCATCACATAAACCTCATATCATAAGAATACTTCAAGAACAACATTCAATCAATCCAGATCTAGTGATTTGCGGACCTACAGTCATGCACTCACCTTGACAATAGATTGAACAAGGAAAATGAGAAGAAGCAGTGAAAAACAACCACAAATCACCACAGATTCGCTCAAGACACCTCCAAATCACCACAATCACCTCTCTTCTTCTTCTCTCAAGTTTCTGAGCCACCAAACAACAAAAAAGGCTGCTCCAGACTTTTAACTAAAAGGGTTTCCAGACCCAAATCAGGCTAAACCGGGCCCAATTGACTTAAATTGAACCGGTCTGATTTTGCAATTGTTGCGTCGACCGACGCAACCTTGCGTCGTCCCAAAACTCCAGAAAAGGGCTACGGATGTTACAACTCTCTCCCACTAAATTGGATTCGACCTCGAATCCCAACACAACACGTCACGAAGACCACAAAAACCCGGCCTCACAAGGCTACAACACCGGAGATCCTCACCTGATCCCCGAGACAAATATCCAGATCTTATGTTATACGCCCGTCTCTAGACATCATTACTCTTAACTCATCGCCTCAAACCACTTGTACCGGGGCCATTACACCCAGACAAGTCTGCACCTACTCAAACTGGGGCCACTACACCCAGGAGCTTGCCATTTCACTCCTAACTCATCATCCAAACCACTTGTACTGAGGCCCACTTGCACCCAGACAAGTCCACACTCCACTGGGCCCACTTGCACCCAGACGCCAACCGTGCTTATACTGAGGCCCACTACCCAATGAAGTAACTGCTTATACTGAGGCCTACTTGCACTCATAAGCTCACTCAACTGAGGCCTACTTGCACCCAGAGAGTCTGCCAGAGAACGAAGTCTCCAAAAACATGATGAGTTATTCAGGATCGCAATCCTTAGAGTAAAAATTCCGGAAAATGTCTATAACCATAAGATTAGACCGTCTCACAACCAAAAACTGGTCAAACATGTGTAACATCCGAATACCTTTTCACAACACAAGGCAAAATGAGGAAAACTGCATCTCATTAAAACTCCAAAATGTATATCGTTACAACGAAAACGAAAATACAATAACACCAAAGCCAAAAATAACAACTGAGGCTACAAAGATGAAATAAGCTCACTCCTCGACCTGCTTGTCGAACCACTTCCTGAACTTCAACTTCATCTTTGCCTCTGGCTCCCAAGTCTCCTCTGTAGAACCACTGCAATCCCACAAAATCCTCAGTAAGGGAATCCTCTTGTTCCTCAGAACCTTTTCCCTCCTCTCTAAAATCCTCACAGGCACTGCCGGCACTGTCAAATCTGGCTTGAAGATCCTCTCAAATCTGGCTGAAGATCCTAATCCTAGCCACTAACTCCTCTGTAGGGTGAAGACACTTCCTCAGCATCGACACATGAAAAACCTTGTGAAAGGCTTTCATAATCTCAGGCAACTCCAGCCTGTAAGCCAATGGCCCAACTCGCTCCACTACTGGAAACGGACCCATAAATCGCGGACTCAGCTTGTTCTCTGCTATGGATCTGTTAGGACCCCTCAACATAGCCATCTTGAGATAAACTCTATCTCCCACCTGAAACTCAAGCTCTCGTCTGCGTCTATCTGCATAACTCTTCTGCCTATCCTGAGCCTCCTTCATGTTCAGCCTCACAACACGAACCTTCTCTGTCGTCTCCTGAACATAAGTAGCTCCATACATGCTGCGCTCCCCCACTTGGGTCCAGCATAGGGGTGTCCTACATGGCCTCCCATACAAAGCCTCAAATGGAGCCATGCCAATACTCGCCTGAAAGCTGTTGTTGTATGCAAACTCAACTAAGCTCAGGTGATCTGCCCAATGGCCACCCCAATCCAACACACACATCCTCAGCAAATCCTCCAAGGTCTGAATAGTCCTCTCTGACTGACCATCTGTCTGCGGATGATAAGCTGTACTCAAATGCACCTTAGTGCCCATCTCTGCCTGTCCACAATCACCCAGATAGCATCGAAAGTCCTCGAAACAGGTAGTCCAACCACGAAATCCATCGTAATCCTGTCCCACTTCCACTCTGGAATGGGTAAACTCTGCAAAAGACCACCCGGAACCTGATGCTCTGCCTTCACCAAGGCACAAGTGTTGCACTTCGCAACCCAGTCTGCTACATCCCTCTTCATCCCGACCCAATGATAGTACCTCTTGAGGTCATGGTACATCTTGGTCGCCCTGGATGAATGGAAAACTTGCTCGTGAGCCTCTCCCAAAATCTGATGTCTCAACTCCACATCCTTAGGCACACAAACTCGCCCACGAACCAAGATAGTCCCATTCGCAGAGACCTCATACTCAGAACCAGTCACTCTAGTCGCATCCAGCAAACTCTGATCACTCTGCTGAGCAACTCTGATCCTGCTAAGTAGATCCGCCTGATCCACTGCCTCTAAACCCAAAGGCTCCTGCGAAATGGCACACAAACGCAAGGTACTGATCTCGCCAACTAGAGACTCCACATCTCGCTCAACTGCGGAATCATACCTCCGTCTACTCAACGCGTCCGCCACTAGGTTAGCCTTGCCCGGATGGTAGTTAATGCTCACCTGATAATCCGCCAAGAACTCAACCCAGCGCGTCTGTCTCGCGTTCATCATCGGCTGAGTGAAGATATGCTGCAAACTCTTGTGATCCGTGAAGACCTGTACTGTCTCACCTAGCAAGTAAGACCTCCAAATCTTCAACGCGAAGATCACTGCTCCCAACTCTAAGTCATGTGTAGGACGGTTACGCTCACTGCCCTGCCACTGTCTCGAAGCATATGCTATCACTCTGCCCTCCTGCATCAGCACACAACCAAGACCAATGCCTGAAGCATCTGTATACACCATGTAAGGCTTCCCTGGCTCGGGTAACGCCAACACTGGTGTAGTAGTCAACATCTCCTTGAGCTGACTAAAGCTCTCCTCACACTCAGCTGACCAAACAAACGGGACATCCTTCCCGGTCAACTTCGTCATCGGCTGCGCCATGGTAGCAAACCCCTTGACGAACCTCCTGTAGTATCCTGCCAAACCCAGAAAACTCCTGATCTCGGTGGCACTACTAGGTCTAGGCCAATCTCTGATAGCCTCAATCTTAGCCGGATCCACAGAAACTCCCTCTGCAGAAACAATGTGGCCAAGAAATCCCATCTCTCGCTGCCAGAAACTGCACTTGCTCAACTTAGCAAAAAGCTTCTGCTCCCGAAGCTTCTCCAGAACCAACCTCAAGTGAGTCGCATGCTCCTCCTGACTCCTCGAGTATACCAGAATATCATCAATGAAAATGATGACAAACACGTCCAAATACTCCCTGAACACGTCGTTCATCAATCTCATGAAGGCTGCCGGCGCGTTAGTCAAACCGAAAGGCATAACCACAAACTCAAAATGCCCATAACGCGTCCTGAAAGCAGTCTTCCTGACATCTGCCTCATCTATCGGGATCTGATGATACCCCGATGCCAAGTCAATCTTGGAGAACCAAGTAGCACCCCTCAACTGATCCAACAACTCATCAATCCTCGGGAGTGGGTACCTGTTCTTCACAGTGACTCGGTTAAGACCTCTGTAATCGATACAAAGTCTGAAACTGCCATCCTTCTTCTTCACAAACAACACCGGTGCTCCCCACGGTGAAACACTTGGTCGAATGAACCCCTTAGACAAAAGGTCCTCTATCTGCTTCTTCAGCTCTGCCAACTCAGCTGGCGCCATCCTGTAAGGCGTCTTCGATATCGGTGCTGTCCCCGGCTCTAACTCAATCGTGAAAGGATCAGACCGAGATGGTGGTAATCCCTTCAGTGACTGAAAGACATCCTCAAAATCCTGGACAACCTCAATATCTCCCATAACAACTCCAGCTCCTGACTCAGACATAGAAATCGTCGCCAGATACGCCTCACAGCCCCGCTCTAACAACTGCTCGGCCTGAATAGCAGATATCACAATACTCCCGGAAGTCGGTCTCACTCCCTGATAAACCAACCTCCCTGCATCTCGCTCGAAGACCACTCTACCTCTGTAGCAATCCAGATGAACTCTGTAGTGTGACAACCAGTCCATCCCGAGAATAACGTCATACAGCTCCACCGGACTGATGACTAAGTCTGCTGGCATTGACTGCCCCGCAATCTCGATCTCGACTCCTCTAGCACGGCCCAAAGTAGACAAGAATCCACCTCCCGCCACCTTGACCATGCCCGCGCTCTCGCCCGCGCTACTCCGGATGCCACTCTTCTCGGCACGCTCCGGTGTAATGAAGCAATTCGATGCTCCAGAGTCGAATAAAACGTGGGACTCAAAACCGCCCACTAACAAGGTCATTACACACAATGCGTTGAGAACCTCACAATTCTATCATAAAGACAAAAAGAACAAATACAACCACCACAAATGCATCACCACTCAGATAGTGGACTGCTAACTCCACCTGATACTAAACCAGACAATCTGATAGACTGGAAATTCCGCTCCAATCTCAACACATCTGCCGCCTCGGCTAACTCCGCCCTCAAAGTACGGCGTACCAATCCTCTGCATGTCCCATCATTCCAAGATAGGCGGCACCATCAAACCCACAGCCTGCGGCTGAACAAACCCGCAGCCCTCTGCTGCACCTCTGCCACTGGAGGTACTCCCGGAGCCCCTGTGGAACCACTGGCGGAAAACGAGCCAATAACTGCGTCAGCAAACCCACCACTAAGTCATCAAGACCCTGAGCCGGAGCACCACCCCAACCCGGAGCAGCCCCCGCTCCCAAACCAACACTCGCATCCACACTGGCCTCACTCGCCACGGATACCGACTGGGTCACCGACGCAGTCGCCACACTAGGCGCCACACTCTCTCCCGAATCCGCCGAAGTCCACAATCTCGGCCCCGGCCTCCACGGCCTCTAGCTCTGCCACCACGGCCTCGAGCACCGCGCCCTCTCGCGCCACAACCTCTAGCTACTCCGTCCATCTCACTCATGGAACCGAAAGAGCACACTAGAACACAACCAAAACTCAAAACAAACATAAACTCACCGCGGAATCTCTTGTAGCTGAAGGGGATGATACTAAAGCCTAGCAATTCTAACAGTCCTAAAACCGTCTAGGCTCTGATACCAAAATGAAACAACCAACACTTTTTTTTTTTTAATAAATACTAATCAATTCTAGCGAAGGTCTTTAAAATAAATTAAATAAATAAAATATCAATAACAAATAAATCAGCTCAGCGGAAGCAAATAATAATTAAACAAGTCTAGCAAAATAATGCAAAACAATAAAACAGTAAACATCCTATCATCCCCCTCTTCAGCCTTGATTCCGCGATCACACAAATCTTTTACCTGCAACACATTGGAATGGAGTTGCGTAAGTATTTAATAAATACTTAGTGAGGCAATCACTCTGCCTACGAGCCATTTACGCAATTTACTAGATATTTAATAATATTTATAAACTCCAATAATTATTAAATACCATTTTCCAATTATTAAATAATTTTAATAATTAAAACTCATTTCTCAATTATTAAATAATTCTCATAATTAAATAATAATTTTCCATATTTTAAAATAATTTAAATAATTATTTTAACCTCTTAATTCAATTAAATTATTTAATTAATTAAATCCGAATTAAACCAATTAACCAATTTTAATTAGAAATCACTTAATTTAACCAGAAATCAATTTCCAATTGAACCAGACTGAACCGGCTGCGTCGACCGACACAAGCTTTTCGTCGCCCGACGCAGACTTCATTGCGTCGCCCGACGCACGTCCGTCAAGTCGACTGAGATATCAACAAATTACGCAGAAACACAGAGTTAACACAGAAATCACCCAAACATCTTAAGGGCTTTTTCAAGCCCGTGTCCAACCATCCAACTAGTATGATATTGTCCGCTTTAGGTACATGTATCTTAACCCTCACGATTTTTGTTATTGGGCTTCTTCCCAAAATGCCTCATACTAGTTAGGTGGGACACTACTTATATATTAGACACTTCTCTATCTAACTTCCAATGTGGGACTTGGATTGATATCCAACATTCTCCCCTTCAAGCCAAGGACCACATAACTCGTGACTCCTTCATCCTCTTGAGGGCTTTCTTCCCACATCTTGTGTAATGCCCACACCCACTTTTCCAGGTCCACTTTCTTTGAACCTTGGCTCTGATACCAATTAAAGGGCTTTTTCAAGCCCGTGTCCAACCATACCAATAAAAGGACAATGGATTGAACAAGGAAAATGAGAAGAAGCAGTGAAAAACAGCCATAAATCACCACATATCGCTCAAGACACCTCCAAATCACCACAATCACCTCTCTTCTTCTTCTCTCAAGTTTTTGAGCCGCCAAACAACAAAAGAAGGCTGCTCCACGAATTTTAACTAAAAAAAAATAGGGTTTCCAGACCCAAACCAAGCTAAACCGGGCCCAATTGACTTAAATTGAACCGGGTCTGATTTTGCAATTGTTGCGTCGACCGACGCACACCTTGCGTCACCCGACGCAACCCCCAAAACTCCAAAAAAGGGCTACGGATGTTACAAAGAAGCTACATACTAAACCCAAATCCACATTATAACTTCCCCCTAAACCGCACACCTGAACCTCACATTACAAATTAGTTATGGATTTACTTTTATTTTATTTATATTTTTTTTGTAATGATTGTTTTCTTCTCCCTTTTATTCTTCTTTAGTGATCCATCTTCTCTTCTTCCAATTTTTGTTCTTCAATCGTTTATTGTGTCTTCATATCCTCCAACTCACTATTCTTCTTTTTCTTTACATTCTATTTCTGGTTTTTCTTCTTCCTCATTCCCCCTCTCTCTTTATATTTATCATCTTCGTCTTCTCTAACATCATCTTATTATAGTTTTTATTTATCTCTTCTTTGTCTTTTTTCTTCACATTCCATTTTTTCTTCTTTGATTTTTTTTTTCTCGTGTTCAAGTTTTCTTCTTCCTCTCGAAATTTTCCATCTTCTTTTCCATCGTCTTTTCCATCGTCTTCTTTTCTCTTACTCATGTTTTTCGTTCTTCTCTATGTTTTGTATTTCACTTATCAATTCATTCTATAGTGTTAATTCACGAATTCAATAAATATTAGATTAATGCATTTTCTTTTTAATTATTTTTCATATTTTTGTAATGTGTTTATTTTCCAAAGAAGTAATAACTTAACATATTCTTAATTTGATATGAACTTATAAATTGTGAAAGCACAAAAAAATTAGTTAAATTTTGTAAGGGTTGTTTTCTTCTCCCTTTTCTTCTTCTTTAATGGTCCCATCTTCTTCGTTTTCTTCCAATTTTTTATTCCTTGTCATCATCTTTTTTTTTTTTTCTCTTCTTCTTCCAATTTTTGTTCTTCAATCGTTTCTTATGTCTTCATATCCTCCAACTTACTGTTATTCTTTTTATTTCTAATGTTCTTTACATTCCTTTTCCCTTTTTTCTTCTTCCGCATTCTCCCTCTCTCTCCTCCATCTTTATAATCTTTGTCTTCTCTGACATCATCTTATTCTAGTTTTTATTTTTCTCTTATTTGTCTTTTTTGCTCTGCACATTTCATTTTTTCTTCATTCTTTTCATTTTCCTCCTCGAGTTTTCTTCTTCTTCTCGAAGTCTCTCATCTTCTTTTCCACCATCTTTTTTTATTCTACTTGTGCTTTATTCCTTCTTGTCTACGTCTTATACTTCATTTACCAATTCATTCGATAATTTTGATTTTCAAGGATTTGTGAAATAGTTTTTATCTTTGTATAGTCGAGATCTTTTAAAAAACTATTTAATTTGTGTTGTTATCTTTTGATTATGGATTTGTTATAATTGTTTTAGTTTTTTTTATATTTGTGAGTATATTTTAGAATGGTATATATAAATTTATAATCACTTATATTTAATTTTGATACTTCCATAACAATTCAAATTTTTAAAACTGCACCAGAAACTAAACCCTACACCCATCAATATAAACCTTAAACTCAAACCCCACATTATAATCCCCCTCCCCCTAATTAAAGAACCCACACCCTAAATCCAAATCCACATTATAACTCCCCCCTAAACTGCACACCTGAACCTCATATTACAGATTAGTTCTAGATTTGTTTTTTTGTTTTTTTGTTTTTTTTTGTAATTGTTGTTTTCTTCTCTATTGATCCCATCTTCTTATTTTTCTTCCATTTTTTGTTCTTCAATCGTTTCTTGTGTCTTTATATCCTCCAACTCACTATTCTTCTTTTTCTTTCTAAATTTATTTATAATCTATTATTTCTGCTTTTTTTTCTTCCTTATTCCCCCTCTCTCTATCTTTATGATCTTCGTCTTCTTTTACATCATCTTATTATAGTTTTTATTTATTTATTTGTCTTTTTTTCTTCACATTCCATTTTTCCTTCTTTGATTTCGTTTTCCTCGTGTTCAAGTTTTCTTCTTCCTCTCGAAATTTCCCATATTCTTTTCCATCGTCTTCTTTTCTCGTACTCATGTTTTTCGTTCTTCTCTATGTTTTGTATTTCACTTATCAATTCATTTGATTGTCCAAATTTTGTTACATCACGAATTCAATTAATATCTTTTGATTATGGATTTTTTTTTTAACTTTTTTAGTTTTTTCTAATTGTGAGTGTATTTTAGAATGTTAGATAAAAATTCATAATCACTAATTTTTAATTTTGTTATACTTCTATAATAATTCAAAATTTAAAAAATGCACCAGAAACTAAACCCTACACCCATCAATATAAACCCTACAACCTAAACCCAAACCCCACATTTTGACCCCTATCCAAAACAACCCTACACCCTAAACCCAAATCCACTTTATAACCCCTCCAGAAACAGGCTAAACCCCACATTACCAATTAGTTTTGGATTTGTTTAACTTTTTATAATAAAGATTTTTTTTTTGTTTTTAATTGATAATGTAGTGTATTCAAATTTTTTAAAAATACACCAGAAACAAACTTTATACCCATCAATATAAACCATACATCATAAACCTCAACCCCATATTATCTTTTATACATCATCTTTTCTTTTACACATGTTTTATTCGTTCTTGTCTACGTCTAGTATTTAACTTATTAATTCATTCGATAGTTTAAATTTCAATGATTCCTGAAATAGTATTTATCTTTATATAGTCGAGATCTTTTAAAAATCTATTTGTATTGTTATCTTTTGATTTTGGATTTGCTTTAACTGTTTTAGTTTGTGAATGTGTTTTAGAATGATAAATATAAATTTATAATCAATAATTTTAAATTTTGATATACTTCCATAATTATTCAAGTTTATAAAAATGCACCTAAAACTAAACCCTATACCCATCAATATAAACCCTACACCCTAAACCCAGACCCCACATTATAACACTCCCCCCTAAACAACACTACACCCTAAACCCAAAACCCACATTATAATCCCCCCCTAAACTGCATTAAAAATTGGCTTTGGATTTGCTTTTATTTTTTATTTTATTTAAAAGAATAGTTTTATTTTTATAATGGTTGTTTTCTTCTCCCACCTATTCTTCTACACTAATCTCATCTTCTTCTTTTTCTTCCATTTTTTATTCATTGTCATCATCATTTTTTTCTTCTTCTTCTCCCAGTTCTTTTTCATCAATTTTTTCTTGTATCTTCATATCCTCCAACTCAGTATTCTTCTTTTTATTTTTTTATGTTCTTTACATTCTTTTTCCGTTTTTTCGTCTCCCTCATTCCCCATCTCTCTCTTTATCTTTATAATATTCGTCTCATCTTATTCTACTTTTTATTTATCTCTTTTTGTATTTTTTCTCTTCACATTCTATTTTTCCTTCTTTGATTTTTTTTTCCTCATGTTCGAGTTTTCTTCTTCTTTTCAAAGTTTATCATCTTCTTTTCCACCGTCTTCTTTTCTTTTACTCTTGTGTTTTCGTTCTTGTCTATGTCTTGTATTTCACTTATCAATTCATTCGATACTTTACATTTTTAAGGATTCTGGAAATATTGTTTATCTTTACATAGTCGAGATCTTTAATTTTTTTTTTGTTTTTTTTGTTATATTTTAATTATGGACTTGTTGTAATTGTTTTACTTTTTTTTTTCTATTAGTGAATGTATTTTAGAATGGTACATATAAAATTCTAATAATCAATTTTCAATTTTGATATACTTCCATAATAATTCAAGTTTTTAAAAATGCATCAAAAACTAAACCCTACATCCATCAATTTATACCCTACACCCTAAACCTAAACCCCATATTATAACACTCCCCCTAAAAAACCCTACACCCTAACCCCAATCCCACATTATAACCCTCCCCTAAATTGCACAACTGAACCCACATTATAAATTGGTTATAGATTTGTTTTTATTTTATTTTGTTTCTTAAAAGAAGTATTTTTTGGAAATGATCATTTTCTTCTCCCTCCTATTCTTCTCCAATGATTTCATTTTCTTCTTTTTCTTCCATTTTTTTCTTCTTCTTCTCCCAATTTTTTTTATCAATCTTTTCTTGTGTCTTCATATCCTCCAACTCACTATTCTTCTTTTTAATTCTAATTTTCTTTACACTCTTTTTCCGTTTTTTTCTTCTTCCTCATTCCCCATCTCTCTCTATATTTATAATCTTCGTATTCTCTAACATCATCTTATTCTACTTTTTATTTCTCTCTCATTTGTATTTTTTTTCTCTTCACATTCCATTTTTCCTTCTTTGATTTCTTTTTCCTCATGTTCTAGTTTTCTTCTTTTTTTTCAAAGTTTCCCATCTACTTTTTCCACTGTCTTCTTTTCTTTTACTCTCGTGTTTTTCGTTCTTGTCTACATATTGTATTTCACTTATCAATTCATTCGATACTTTATATTTTAAGAATTCGTGAAATATTTTGTATCTTTATATAGTCGAGATCTTTTAAAATTCTATTTGTTTTGTTATCTTTAGATTCTGTTTTTGCTTTAATTATTTTTGTTTTTTTCTAGTTCTTAATGTATTTTAGAATGGTAGATATAAATTTATAATCAACAATTTTTAATTTTGAAATATTTCCATAATAATTCAAATTTTTAAAAATGCACCAAAAAACTAAACCCTACACCCATCAATATAAACCGTACACCCTAAACCCCACATGATAACCCCCTCCCCTAAACAACCATACACCCTAAACCCAAACCCACATTATAACCCCCCCTAAACCGCAAACATGAACCCCACATTACAAATAGGTTCCGGATTTGCTTTTTTTTTTTGAAGGAAGTTTTTATTCGGTAATGTAGTGGATTCAATTTTTTTTAAACTGCACGAAAAACTAAAATTTACACCCATCAATATAATCCGTACACCGTAAACCCCAACCCCATTTTATCTTGTTATTCTTTTACTTTGTCTTCTACTTTTTTTAGATTTTTTTCCCTTCATTTTCTACCGTTAAAAAAAAAAAAATCTCATCCAACTTTCTACTCTCTTTTAATTTTTCTCTTTCTTCATCGTCATATTTTTGATTTTTATTCGTTTTATTCATTTTATTTACGATTAACCTTTTCAATTAATCACAAAGTCTACGATTTTACTTTTTATATTTTTTTCTTCTTATTCTCTGCTCTTATATTCTTCTTCTTCTTCATTATATATCTTTTGATAGAAAGGAACAGACAAACTATGAGAAGTATTTATAAAGTATTGATGGCAATAATTTCCCTTGTATATCAATAGAGCTTTATTGAATTTTCAAAAAAAGGTTAATTTATTGTTTTTCTTTTTTTTTAATGCTATTTATGCCATCAGCTTACATCAACATCATTCTATTTATGGTTAATAGCATAATGCGCTCAAGGTAAGGTTTAAAAGTAGGGTTTTATGACATTTTATGATTTTTGAGCATTGATCATGCAACAGAATGTCAGTAGTAGTTCTGGTTTACAAAACAGTTATTATAGAGGTGACTCACACCGATAATACATAGTTGGTAAATAAAGATCTGATCAGCCTAACCACAAATTACAAATTGGGTTAGGGTTTATTTGATCAGCCTAACCACATTTTTTTCTTATATTTTATTTATCTAACATCTTAATTTTCATTCTTTTTTTGTTTCATCTTCTCCTTCTTCTATTTTCTTCTTCCTTATCCTCTGGATTTCTTCGTTTTCTCCACTCTTACGAAGGATGTTTGTCTGAAACTTGTAGACTAATTTAGAGATAGAGAGTAGAATCAAACACAAACACTTGATGAGTAACCAAGATTTGAGTTCTAAGAAACTAATATGTATTTTTAATAACATGTTCAATCAATCAGTCACATAGATGATTATGAATCATTAAATATGAAAAACCATATAAGTGTGGGGTTGTGTTGCATCTCTTCTCCAACTATATATTTACCTGAAAATTAAGAGAAAAATATTAACGTTATTGCAAGGATGAATCACATTCTAGTTAAAAAGCCGATGTGAATGAATTAGCGATTGCAGTACCGTGAAACCTTTGTAAGCATGAGCTGGATAGACAAATGTGCCTTTTCGCAATGTAGACATATCTTAGTTTAAGTCTGGCTCTCTGATGGCATTACAGACAATCACATCATTCAAAAATCAACTGCTAATTTTCCTAACCAAATCGAAATAAAAATATCCAATTTTTAAATTGTTTACACTTTGCAATACAAAGACCAACGCTAAATATGTCAACAAATTATTTTAAACAACACAGAGAGAATACTCTAGGAATATCATGAATGATAACCTTAGCCAAAATACTTACACACTTGTATGTATAACATCATTAATTAGTTTTCTATATAAAGCACTTCCAAAAGATAATAAAGAAACAAATATGAAAACCGAATGTCAATATGAAGAATAGTGATATAAGTTTATCACTATTTAGTAATGCTATTTTTCTTCTATAATTTGACTCTAAAACATATATATATATATATACTTAGCAAATCAAACTCGTATTATATCTTAGATTCCAAAAGAAATAAAATATTGTCAAGTGTTATATTTACCTCGAACTCTTACCAGTATTGAACTCCATCCAAAGAAAAATGTGTTTAAATTTGAGCATCAACACTGGGAAATCAAACAACTTTCGTATAGTCTGATACAGCCTTCTTATACTCTCAAACTTCTTTGATCACCTATGCTGATCCAGCTTGATGGCCAGCTTTATCCATAAAAATCGCAACCCAACCCAAGATATCCACTTTATTGCATCATCATACTTATCAAAGCCCTTACCCTTAGCTGATGTAGCTGAGGAGGTGGTGGCAACCCATCTCGCCAACCGACGCAGCCCCACTGTCAAAACTTTCAAATCATTATGCAGTGTAGCGGATGCAACTGTGGTATTGGAAGGAAAGAACATCGATAATACATCATCTTTTGTACTTTAGGTTTTTTTTTTTCACCTACAACAACTGAAACTACTTCAGAAACATAATGATATTGGGACTTAAAGGCTAAAGGCATCCAAGTTGTTCGAACAAAATCACTTCTCCTTCTAAAGAAAAAAAGAATTAAACCCTACAATAATCAAATATGATTAGGAGATTAGAAAATAGGGAATCTACCTCTTTTGTCATAATTCTAACCAATTTGGGAATGATTCTGCCGACAGATCATGAGGCCGTGAACGAACGTGATCCCACCCCGGTTTCCTGGATCTGCCATGGATTTGTGACAATATATTGAAATCACACTACAAAACTAAAACATATTATCTAATATCCTCTTGATCTCCAATATCTAAATCAAAATCGTTCAAGTTCTCTTCCTATTTGAGCTTGATGAGCAATTTTTATCTTTCTGAAAAATAGTTTTAAGTAAAATTATAGGTGGAATATCACAGAAAGTTAAACCAACCAATTAAGGAAAATTAGTCTTTCAATATTTGTGATTTGATCTTCGATAAATTGTAGCAAACCTGGTGAATAAATATTGTATTTCTTCTTTTTCATCTTCTTCATCCTCAATTTCAACGTAATTTGGCCACATGTTAGCATGAGGAAATATCTTCTCATTGAATCATTACCTCTTCGTAGTGTTTCTCTTTTCTTTAATTGACTGGACTCCAAAAGTAAGAAGAATTTAGAATTAGGTTCTCTCTCCTTTATATATAAAATACTATAACTTGAGGTTTAATTAGTAGACGAAACAGGAACTCAACAACCGTCTTGTCCTACTACAGAAATCTTATTGCGCAAGTAAGAAAAACAAAACAAAAGGTTACAGCATATGTTACAGAGATTGATGAAGGATTTTTGATGAGTTTTAAAATACTAACCGATCAGCCATCGATGATTTGTTTTCTTCATGATCATTCTCTCTACAACAACATAAGGATCTGCAAACACAATGAACCCAAAGCCACATGCACATCATGTGGTGGTATGACCTCTCATGATCTCAAGATTCAACCAAATCTTTGTACCTCCTAATATGCTCCCGAAATCATTCTTCGTTCGAGGCTCCGCCCATTCCGTTCCTTCAGCTTCATTGAAGAAACTAAAATTATAAACCCCTATAACGCCTGTTTTGCTACCTATTTATATATTAGATCTATTTATATATTAGATTGTCGGTTAAGAAATCTAGGGTTTCTATGAATATTATTTTTTTCTAGATTGTGGCCTGATCATATTATAGTTAGGGTTTAGTTCTTTTAATATTTTACTGAATAAATAAATTTATAAATTTGAATAGGATAAATTTTATAATTTTTGGGCGTTGATATTTAAACTGAATAATTATAAAAAAGGAAAATTAGAAATTTTTAAGATTTAACAATAGATTTTCATTAAGGGTAAGTGGATAATTTTCTTTAAGGGTAGCTGGGTAATCAACCAGCTGAGAATGAATGTGGTGCCTATAAACAAAATTTTTACTTCGCAAATAATATATAAGATTTATATATTAGATCGTCGGTTAAGAAATCTAGGGTTTCTATGAATATTATTTTTTTCTAGATTGTGGCCTGATCATATTATAGTTAGGGTTTAGTTCTTTTAATATTTTACTGAATAAATAAATTTATAAATTTGAATAGGATAAATTCTATAATTTTTGGGCTTGTGTCTTCTTGATGAGGTCATCGACCCAAACCAACCCCAAACCGAGCTACCTACGCTTAGAGAAGCACCAATGACGCGCTCAAGGACCAGAAGCTTGCGGGAGAAGTTCAACCTTTCTGTGGAGAACATTCTAGGCTCATCAGAACAAGACCTTACCGAGATAAGGCACCAAGGTATGATCTCTTTTGACTCAGGACAAGGAGCTCAAGACTGCACCAAGGTATTCATGTCGTTTTGTTTCTTTTGCTTTTGCTTTGTCGTTTTGGTTGTTTTAGTTTGTTTCCTTTTTCTGTTGAACTCGACCCTAGAAGGTCAAGCTGATGGACTGTTATAAAGTCCCACTGCAGCATTGTAGCCGTCACATTTTTGCTTATCAATAAAAAAACCCCTTTTTTTTCTCAAGCGTTTGCCTTGCGAGATTGTTCTTTTGCTTGTTTATGTGCGTGTGTGAGATTCACCATAGATCGAGTGTTTGCTGTATCAAAGAGATTATCCATACTCTCTGTGGTGCCATCGACTTCCCCCATCGTTTCCATTCATAGATCGCACAAGAGAGAGCTTAGGCCAGCTTGTTTGATCCCATCCGACCGTTGTTTGATCTTACACCAGGTCTTCATAACTTAGGTTCACTCTCTTTATACCAAGTGTAGTAGCTATCTCCTCAAGCGCATTCCCTGCAAAAATTGTAGAGTACACATATGGATGTTGACCTCTGATATTAAAAAAGAAAGTAACCTTTTGATTTAATGTACATTCAGCTGGATGGAGAGCTGGTGAAGTGGATGTTGTTAGAGTCGCAAAGAAGCTTGTGATGATTGTGAAGAACACAAGAAGAGAAGAGAAGGCGATCCACAACTATCAAGAAGAGATTAAATAATATGGAAATTATCAAGCAAGACTTTCATGGTCTTCTTTGGTCGCCGCCTTATCGTCTACTAGAGACCAAAAGTGAATATTGAATTACTGTGCAACTTGCAATAGTAACAGTACAATTATCTTTCTTCATGGATGCTTTATGCTTTATATGTTGGATAAGCTTCGACAGTAGCTTGAAGCCTAAGATGCCTTTCCAAGTTGGGTTATATTAGGATAAGATAAGATATGATTATACAAGCCTAATATGATTAGCAAAGTTGTGTCAACACTAAAGTTATGTTGTCGAGTTGTGACAAACATGTTAAGAACATTGAGAGCTTGTGTTTAGTTTTGAGAGAGTTTCTAAACATTAATAAAGAGAGACATTCTTTATCTAAATATTACAGTGACGAGGAAGATAACTCTGTTGTGGAGTTCAAGGTGGCGGTTTCTGAATGAAATGGGAACATAAGGTCATTATAACCTGACGTGGAAGTTGACTCCATCAGCTTCGAGAAGTTTAAATCATGCCCATACACCGCAGGACCTGACATGATAACCTCTGTTATTTCCATCTCTCCCTCCAGCATTTGCACTGCCTCTGACATCATTGGTCGTAACGAAGGAGATGCATTTGTGCAAACAAGACCAACTCTGATCATCCTCACTGCTTCTTTCCTGTTGAAATTGTTGAAACCATAATCATATCTCTAAACCAGAATCACATTTACTACATAAGTTAGAACCAACATTTACATTTGACAGTTACTTGACAGTTACTCAAGTGGTGTCTTTTAGGTTAAGAGGTGTTGGTTCTTTTAAGAGTCACAATGAAGAGACACAACTCTTAGTTGTGTGTTGTCTTAGTATATAAACCATGTAACACGTGATGTAACAATAATCAAGTTTCAGAGAAATAAAATTCATTCCTCGTTTGTAATCTTCTTCTCACAAGACAAGAGATAAGAGTTTATCTCTTACTCTGTTTTGTCTCATCTTTTCTTTTCTCTGTTTCAAATCAACATTTCAACATGGTATCAGAGCTTTAATGGTCATGGAACCTGTTTAAAGCACAAAAATAATGAGAGAAGTCTGCTGCAATAAGAAGAGAAAGATAGAGAGTAAACCGGAGAGAAGAGAGAAGAAGAGGAAGAAGAAGAAGAGAAAAAAAAAAAAAAAGAGGTGGTGGCGAGAGACCATCAACCTTCACAAGCACAATCACATGCCGTATCCTCAAGAGAAGAAGGCTCCAACAGCGATGGAGAAGATAGCAAATCTTCTCAAAAGGCAATGGAGAAAACGGATGTAAGAGTTGGAATTGTTGAAGGAGATTTCTGAAACTTGATCGACAACGTCTTGGTGAAGCACAAGGATGCGGAGAAGGCATCACGCAATGGAGGCATCACTGAAAGAAGCCGAACGGGAACAACAGGGTAACCGGTGACACAGTCAACCGAAGAAGACGTGGAGAAGAAGATTCACGCAAAGCACAATACGGGAACCACTGACACAGTCAACCGAAGAAGTCGTGGAGAAGAAGATTCACGCAAGGCACAATACGGGAACCGGTGACACAGTCAACCGAAGAAGACGTGGAGGAGATCTATGCAAGAGAACGGTTACGGAGTTGTAATCGGAGACGTGAAGAAGAGTCACGTTATAACGTCAATGAGACGTTGAAGCAATAAAAGAGGATGCTTACCTCGAGAAAAAAAAATGGAGCAAGTCGGTTGAAGAGTTAACCGAAGAAGACATGGAGAGAGATCCATGCCGGAGACGTCAAGGACGTTAATGGTGATAGAAGGAAGACACCAAAGCAAGGATGCTTACCTCTATGAATACAAAAATGGAGCAGAGAAGATGTGATGATGATTCACGCATGAGACGTCAAAGGGGACGTTAATGGTGATAAAGGAAGACACCGAAGCAACAAAGAGGATGCTTACCTCTATGAATAAAAAATGGAGCAGAGAAGACGTGATGACGATTCACGCATGAGACGTCAAAAGAGACGTTGATGGTGATCCAAGGAAGTCACCAAAAGAGGATGCTTACCTCTATGAATAAAAAATGGAGCAGAGAAGACGTGATGACGATTCACGCATGAGACGTCAAAAGAGACGTTGATGGTGATCCAAGGAAGTCACCAAAAGAGGATGCTTACCTCTATGAATAAAAAATGGAGCAGAGAAGACGTGATGACGATTCACGCATGAGACGTCAAAAGAGACGTTGATGGTGATCCAAGGAAGTCACCAAAAGAGGATGCTTACCTCTATGAATAAAAAATGGAGCAAAGAAGACGTGGAGGAGATCTACGCAAGACCACGATTACACAGATAACCGGAGATGTGAAGGAGATTCACGTTTGTGACGTCAAGGAGACGTTGATGGTGTTTAAAGAGGACACCAAGCAAGTGGAGCGACCTTAGTGAAAAAAAAGAAGGTAGCCGAGACCGGTCACAATTAACTGGAGACGACGTGGATAGAGGATCCATGCGCAAGAGACGTCGAGGAGACGACGTGATGGTGATCATCGGAACTCACCAAAGGAAGCGCAGAGGCTACAATGGAGAAAGAATAAAGAGGTTCTACTCAAGAGCATCTGCAGAAAAGGAAGAAGCTTGGAGGGAAGCCGAGATATGATTAAGGGGGAGTGTTGAAACCATAATCATATCTCTAAACCAGAATCACATTTACTACATAATTAGAACCAACATTTACATTTGACAGTTACTTGACAGTTACTCAAGTGGTGTCTTTTAGGTTAAGAGGTGTTGGTTCCTTTAAGAGTCACAATGAAGAGACACAACTCTTAGTTGTGTGTTGTCTTAGTATATAAACCATGTAACACGTGATGTAACAATAATCAAGTTTCAGAGAAATAAAATTCATTCCTCGTTTGTAATCTTCTTCTCACAAGACAAGTTTATCTCTTACTCTGTTTTGTCTCATCTTTTCTTTTCTCTGTTTCAAATCAACATTTCAACAGAAATCACCTTCGAGCATCGGATCTGCCATCTCTGTTACGTCTTCCCCTTTCTGTTGCAGTGACAGTGCCTGAGGTGGATGTAAACATTTCTGCCATGGCTAAGATTTTCAATCCTGCAAAATGCTAGAAACATCTGATTTATATGTATGATTTATATGTAAGCAAAACCCATATTTGAAGTAAAGAAAACTTTTCTTAACCACTCAGAAAAAAAAAAACATAAACACAACTGAATACATTATAGTAACACAACATTATTCTCTTGTCTGCATATAACACAAGCATTCATTAACAATAATATTCTGCAAGCAACAAACATAATATTATAAAAGACGATATGACATTATATAGGCCTCAGATTCAGCTTTAAGTGGCTTGCAGAGTTTGTTGAGAACACCATAAACGCTTCAACGTCGGTATGTTCTTCTGGCTTTAAAGAACCTCTCTCTGATTGAGATTAACTCTTTTGTGGCTTCACTTGTTGCCAACCGGTTCGTCGGAGATTCTTCACAACACCTAAGTCCCATCTCCAAAATCAGTCAAGCACTCAGCAATAGGGAAACCGACTCTGAGACCGGTGTGAAGAATCGAGTTGTCTGCAATGTCCAACACTCGCTCTGGCAATGCCGACTTGGTGTAGCTGTTTAGTGTAAGATCTCCTCCAAATAACTCATTGGTTGGTCTTTTCCAGTGAACATTTCCAAAAGGAGAACCCCAAAGCTATACACATCGCCATGTATTGATGGTTGCCCTCCCATTCCATATTCTGCACCATCATTCACAAAAACAAGATTGTAATAAAAGAAAGAATCTACTAGTTTTCTTCATAGAAAGAACATTGCATATGTGTGATAGTTTTACCTGGTGCAGCATAGCCAATGGTTCCTCTGACGCCACCTGAGCTTAGTTGGTTGAGGAAGACTCTTTGTCGAATTTGAGGAGAAGCCGAGCCAGACCAAAGTCGCTAACATGGGCAGTTAGGTCATCGTCTAAGAGGACGTTGCTTGGCTTAAGATCGCAATGAGCTATAGGATCATGACAATGAACATGCAGATAGTCCAGGACAGAAGCCACATCTATTGCAATGTTGAGTCTTTCAAAAAGAGTTAAAGTTCTTGAAGGCCTATGAATCTCTTCAACTTCCTCCGGGTGAAGCCAAACATCCAAGCTTCCATTAGGCATGAACTCGTAGATGAGAGCTCTGAATTCATTTCCTTGGAAATCAGTACTCGAGCAAGCCGTCAATAGCTTCACAAGATTACGATGCCTTATGTCCTTCAAGGATTCACATTCTGCCATAAAGCTCCTCATGGCTCCACGTCTCTGCATGTTTAGAACTTTCACTGCAACCACCTTATTCTCCGCTGGTAGTAATGCTTTAAACACAGTACCAAAACTGCCTGTTCCAATCAAATTGCTCGAAGAGAAGCCATCTGTTGCATTTCGAAGATCTCCATAACTTATCCTCTCATGTAAGACCTCCAAAGTAGAAGGAGCTTCAGAATTGGCCTGCTGGTTCTTTTTCTGTTTCTCAGCCAACGTAGAGAAACGAAAGCTAAGACAAACAGAATCAAGGCAATGCCTATGCTTACTCCAATCACCACCTTTTTGAAAAGAGAGGAATGCTTTGTACCCTGGTTGATGTCAGTGAGGCATGGCTTTAGTTGCAATTTCTTGATGCCTCCACATAATTTTGTGTTCCCAAATACTGAAACTATAGAGGCATTCTGAAACTTTCCTTCTGTTGGCACCTCTCCCTCAAGATTGTTAACAGACAGATTGAGATATTGCAACTTAGATAAATTTGCAAGATATCCCGGAATACTTCCAAAGAGACTATTGCTCGACAAATCAACTTCTTTGAAGATCCACCAACCCACTTAAATCTGGAATGGGTCCATCAAACAAGTTTCCTTGCAGATAAATATTCCATCGAGAGACATTTTCCCAATGTTTGTGGGAGTTGTCCCGACAATTTATTATGCGCAACAGATAGTTAACAAGAGATTTTCCAACATCTTTTGGTAGAGAGCCGGTAAAGGAATTACCTGCATATTTAGGGAAATAAGGATGACATTTGCATAATCTCCACCGGTATAGCCCCTTTCAACTTATTAGAACCAACATGTAATTCTAACAAATTGCTACAATTGCTGAGACTCGGAGGAACGGTTCCTTCAAAAATATTGTTGGACAAATATAGTCACTAACCGAGTGATGTTTCCTATAGCAGATGGTATCTCTCCAGACATTCTATTTGAACCACACTTATTCCCCCTAATTCTGAAAGCTTCCCAAGAGAGGTTGGGAGTGTTCCTGTTAACCTATTTCTTCTAAAGAGTTCTTGTAGGCTTATGAGATTCCCAATCTCATGAGGAATGCTTCCAGAGATGAAATTTTTGAAAGGCTAAAGAAATGAGGTTTCTGGACAGATTGGCAATAGATGTAGGCAAGTCACCTCCAAGCCTATTTCCACAACAACTATTTTTTGTAGATGGGTGCAGTTTGATAAAGCACCAAGAAATTCAAGATCGCCAAAGAGTTACTTCCCAAAGAATTACCAGCAAGACTAGGTATTGCAATTTCCGTGCTTTTCCGAAGCTCAGAGGAATACTTCCAATTAGATTGTTACCGAATCTAACATATGAAGAGTTGATATATTGGGAAGTGTTGCTGGGATGGGACCAGTGAGATTATTACCTCCTCAAATATATTTTGAGATTTGGTAGCAAACTACCAAAATCAGCCCTCAGACTACCTGAGAAACCATTATCAAACATGAGTAAACTCAAGTGAGGACAAATTGTAGATTGCAGGCGGAAAAACACCTGAAAATTGTTTTTTGATGATTCAAGAAACACATTTGAGTCAGTCTAGCTATATCGTCCGGAATTCCTCCTTCTAGATTATTATCTCCAAATGAAGTTTGTGAGTGATGTCAAGTTTCCAAGAGATGCAGGGAGCTTCCCTTTCAGGTTGTTTCTACCAAGATATAAATTGACAAGCTTTGTCAATGACCCTAGTTCTGAAGGAATACCTTCTCCAAGATCATTTGAATCTACACTAAGCCTCAACAATCTAGAGCAGTTAGACAGACGGCTGGAATCGTTCCACCGAGAAAATTTGAGAACATATTCAAATCTTTCAGTCTAAACAAGTTTCCCAGCTCTTGAGGGATGGTACCACCAAAAGAGTTATTAAAGACCAAGTGATACGAGAAACGAAAGATTACCAATATATGGTGATATCACCCCGCCCAGTTGCAATTTCCGAGGTCCAAACGAGTAACTCTCTTGTGTTTGCGGCCACATGTAACCCATTCCCAGTTGCATAAAGGGTTTGAGTATTCCATGAGGAAAGGACAACTCTTCCGTTTTCAGAAACTCGAGACTTGAATTCGAGCAACCCTTGCTTATCAGTTTCTCCAGTAAATCCATAGCCTTCAAGTAACATGAGAGCACTTAAAGCAAGTAAAAGAAACAGTCTCATGCTTCTCGTTTTTCAAAAGCTTTTTTTCTTTTTCTTGGTTATATGTTTGGTGCTTCTCATGTTTTGATGCAAATCCGAGATGCATTTACCTTGTGGTGTATATGCAATTTAAGGGATAATAATATAATACATAGGCTCACAACCACATATACACAACTCCAAAACGGCAGACTCTTGCCGACTCTTGTTATCTAAGTCAATTAGTCAACCATCTAAAAAGAACAAAAAAAAACAAATCATTAAAGTCTTTATGAATTTTCTACAGACATCATGTGGTGGCTGGAATCTCGAAAATTAATTAAAACACCAACCTATAATATTACGATCACAAAGCATTCATCTTTTCGGCTGAAATCTGAAAGCACAACACTTGTTTATAAAATTCAGGAAGACAGCAACCATACTTGTGACAAACCTTTCACTGGTTAGCAAAACTATGGTACGTATCAAGAGATTCTCTTAGCCATAGTCTGATTCTCATATGTTATTCAGTAATGACAGAAACACAGATATTTGTTTGGTTTAATATTTTGCATAGACCAAGTCAACAGAATTGTGTTAAAATGAAAAAGAAGAAATGAGTTTTAGATTACAATAGCTGAGACCAAATATAATATAGGGGAAAATTAATGACTATGGATATCATAGATGGTGTGGAAGCTCTTAGTGGTTAATTTAGGGAATTAATGCTTCTACATTAGGAGATCTGAGTTTCCTGACGAGTGCGATTTGCTAATAATTTATGCAAATTAATGGAGACAAGCTTTAGGAGATCTACAGATTGGTGCACATGGAGCCGTCGGTCGTGGAGTCTAGAATCGTCTGTTGTAGAATTGTCATAATTTGCATTAGATTAGTCAATCAGTGTTAAAAAAATGATCATAGAGGTAAGTAACACAAAATTCATTTTCCGTTAGAAAAATAACATTGAATTCGTCAACAATCTTTATATTATTAATTGAGAAGTACATGAAAAAATTATGACCAAAAAACCAATCTAATTATGAAGAGAAAGTGTTTGGCAACAGATTAAATAAGGGTCAATTTAGTACATTGTAATGTTTGAATACAAGAATAAGAGAAAAAGCTATTTGGATAGAAGAATAAATGAAAAAAATTGTTTGGATACTATAATAATAACTTAAAACAAACCGATGGTTTAGAAAACTTCCGTTTCCAGCACTTAAAAATCTGCAAAAAAAAAGAAAACTTAACATAATCTAACGATAATACCAAATCAATAGAATATGCTTTTGGATTTTCGGGTTTTTATAGACAAGTTCGGGTTTGGGTGAAAATCTGAGACCTAATTTTATAGAGATATAGAGATATAGAAATTGTTCGGGTTTCTTTGAAAATTTCTGTTAGGGTTGGGTTCCAATTTTTTTTTTTTTCACTTTAGGGTTTTCCGGATTTTTTGGATTTCGGGTTTTCGGGTTTAGATATATTAAAAAGGTTTGAGTATTTTAAAATTTTGATTAGGGTATTTGGGTCGGGTTCCGGGTGAAAAAGTTTCCAAAGTACGTACAATTACAACTTTAATCACTTCTGATCTTTCTAGAGGAGTATTTGGTATTTCGGAATATCACAAAGAGAGATTCAACAACTAAAAGAAAGATCGATTCTTTGGGATCCTTCCCTTATTAAAACGGAAGGAAGAGCTAAAATTGATTATTGTTCCTATATAGTTCGAACTATTTACGGGATTTTTTTTCCGGATTTTCGGGTTTAGACATATTAGAAAAGTTTGGGTTTTTAAAATTTCTAATTAGGGTTTTTTGTTCGGGTTCAGATTTAGGGTTTAAATTTTCTACACAAAACCACAACATCACACCGCACAAACGTGCGGGTACTCTACTAGTACTCTGCATTTCTACAAGCATATGTACAAGATCATGATTCTCTGCCCCCAAGAAACTTTAAACACAGAACCAAACTTACCTGACCCAATATTCTGCACATGTTGAATTGAAGAGGTCATCATAATAGCTTCTCTTTTCATTACCATTAGCCCTCATACTCTCCATTCTATGTTTGTACCAGTAGTGACAAAAATAATAATCAAGGTATTATCATAAGCCATGACAATCTATGATTTCGACAATGCCAATTTGCATCTAGATAGTCTTCAGTAAAATAGCATATCCTGAAGCTGATTTCCTCTCTTGTGTGGCTCTTTGACTCTAAGGCATAAGACATAGACATGACCCAGCAATGGTACAGTCTTTTAAGCCTGTGGCCGGTAAACGTGGTTTGCAACACCGTGGATCAGAGGGCATTATGCATCTGCTACAGATCAAAGTATAAAAAGTTCGAATTTAACACTTCTTTAAATTTGAAAAACTTTGGTCAAACACATAACCATTTGATACCAAGAACCTAGTCAGACACGGCTTTGAGTGTTCATGAGACAACCATTTCCATAGTTATAGTCTTATAGAACTAAAAATCATATTGAAAACTAGAATACCAAGTGTTCAACATTTTCTTTTGGAACCCACAAATGTTTTGCCAAGTAGACAAAGATCCCTGAAAACAACACCCCACCTCCAAGTATGTCAGCTTGAAAGCATCTGTCCCAGAGCCACTAACCCCAGTAGCTCTGTCCTCAGACAAAACAGAAGATAGCACAGTGAGACCGGGAAGCCCGCAGCCGGGAAGCCGGCAGCAAGAGCTTGGAGCCGATGGAGATGGACCTGGAAGAGAATAACGGAAATGTGGATGCGGTTGGGAGTCTTGTTTTGGTGTTGAGCTTAGAGGAAGAGCATTGGCGTTAGGTGGCATTGTGGAAGTCTCAAGAATATTAGTTTGGATGAGAAGATGATGGCAAATTTCAACAAGAACCAGTGGAAAACGTACATATTAGGTTTGCTGTTGACGAAAAAAGCAGATTCAACGTTTCCGGAAAGCATGTTGCCAGTTAGATAGCTGAAAGAAAACACATCATATACTAAAATTCTCAATTTTTACATGACTCAATCTCGGATTATTAACTACTTACGTATGTTTTGGTGCTTTTTGTATTTCTCGAACTTCACCAGTCAACTTATTAAAAGATAAATCCCTGCGGCGTTAAACAACTCTTTAATCAAATTTTCTTTAGATATTCTTTGTAAAAGATCCCTTTGATATTTGCATGCATACAACAAATATCATAATCTAAAGTCTTTCCTCAAATCATTAAAACAAGTAGCCCACGCCTTGTTTTATAAAACAAAATTATTCATAATTTAAAATGCTATAATAAAAAAATATAAAAAAAACTAATAATTATGCTTAAAATAATACAAATGTTCAAAGTAAAGTAAATGTTTTGGAAGACTACTTTATACACTATATTAACCAAAATTCATATAATTTTTATTTTCTTTCAAAATTTTCAATATGCTTATCCTATGAATGCAGTGCACAAAAATATGACGATTATTTCCAGTTTATTATCTATGATAAAATATAATAAATTTTGACGATTATATCCGTCTTTTTCGTGTCATCTACAACATATCCATCATTTTATTTTCTTTCAAAAACTATATTCATTTTTATTTATCTTTATCTTTTTTTTTCAAATTTTTCTTCTTCTTATCTTCTTAATATTTTTATTGATCATCTTCATATCCTCTCATTATATTTTCTTATTTTTCTTCATCTTTTTTATTCCTAAATTCTCCCGTCTTTTTTTTATTGTCTTTGTCTTCTCTTAACTTTTTTAGCCTCTTTATCTTATTTGTTTTCTTCTCTTATTTTCAGTTTTTATTCGTCGTTGTCTTCGTCATCTTCTTCTCTTTTCTGTTCTTTTAGTTTTTATATTTCTTCTATGTTTTATTTCTCGCTTTTGTTTTCTAATAATTTTATTTCTCGCCTTTGTTTTCAAAAAATTATTGGTCAACTAAAACTTATAATTGTATAATCTATCTGAATTGAAGATTTAAAAAACGCACATAAAACTAAACCCTACACCCCCACCAATATAAACCCTACCTTCTAAACCTTAATCCTAACCCTACAATAAACACCCCCATACATACAGTACACCATAATCACATAACAGAAAACTCTTTTCAGTTTTAATGGAATATTTTTTTGCTTAATTTTTTGTAATTGTTGTTGTTGTACAAAATTTCATATGATATTTTAAGAATACACAATGTTTTTATTTTCTCGATATGATTTGAACAAAAGATTAAATAATTTGGTTGTTTAGCTATTTCCTTTATCCTTAAATTTTTTCAAGAACTAAGGATTTAAAAAACACACAAAAAAACTAAACCCTACACCCATTAGTATAAACCCTACCTTCTAAACCCTAACCCTACCCCCCCCCCCCTTCCCTTTCCTCATCCATACAGTTCACTATAACCACAAAATAGAAAACTCTTTTTTAATTTGAATTATTATTTGTTTGGCTTAATTTAGTGTAATTATTGTTGTTGTACAAAATTTCATATGATATTTTAAGAATTCGAAATGTTTTTTTATTCGATATGATTTTAACAAAATATTAAATAATTTAACTATTTAATCTCATATAGGGAGATAAATACAAAATATTTTGTATCTTATATTCAATAATTCATATTATTAAAATATTTCATATTTTATAAAATATATAAAATATTAATGAAATTAAGAAAATTATAGCAATATATCATCAAACTAAAAGTAGGTTAAACAATCTTATATGGTAATCATATTTTCCATTACTCTATTTCATCAGGGAGAAGCAGCACAGGCCCTTGCTAAACAGCATCCAACTGCTTTACAACTTTCTATCTCATCGAGCATTGAACGAATTTCACTCTTGTGACATCGGCAATACACATCTAAATGGTATTTTTATTCGATATGATTTTAACAAAATATTAAATAATTTAACTATTTAATCTCGTATAGGGAGATAAATACAAAATATTTTGTATCTTATATTCAATAATTCATATTATTAAAATATTTCATATTTTATAAAATATATAAAATATTAATGAAATTAAGAAAATTATAGCAATATATCATCAAACTAAAAGTAGGTTAAACAATCTTATATGGTAATCATATTTTCCATTACTCTATTTCATCAGGGAGAAGCAGCACAGGCCCTTGCTAAACAGCATCCAACTGCTTTACAACTTTCTATCTCATCGAGCATTGAACGAATTTCACTCTTGTGACATCGGCGATACACATCTAAATGGTATTTTTATTCGATATGATTTTAACAAAATATTAAATAATTTAACTATTTAATCTCGTATAGGGAGATAAATACAAAATATTTTGTATCTTATATTCAATAATTCATATTATTAAAATATTTCATATTTTATAAAATATATAAAATATTAATGAAATTAAGAAAATTATAGCAATATATCATCAAACTAAAAGTAGGTTAAACAATCTTATATGGTAATCATATTTTCCATTACTCTATTTCATCAGGGAGAAGCAGCACAGGCCCTTGCTAAACAGCATCCAACTGCTTTACAACTTTCTATCTCATCGAGCATTGAACGAATTTCACTCTTGTGACATCGGCAATACACATCTAAATGGTATTTTTATTCGATATGATTTTAACAAAATATTAAATAATTTAACTATTTAATCTCGTATAGGGAGATAAATACAAAATATTTTGTATCTTATATTCAATAATTCATATTATTAAAATATTTCATATTTTATAAAATATATAAAATATTAATGAAATTAAGAAAATTATAGCAATATATCATCAAACTAAAAGTAGGTTAAACAATCTTATATGGTAATCATATTTTCCATTACTCTATTTCATCAGGGAGAAGCAGCACAGGCCCTTGCTAAACAGCATCCAACTGCTTTACAACTTTCTATCTCATCGAGCATTGAACGAATTTCACTCTTGTGACATCGGCAATACACATCTAAATGGTATTTTTATTCGATATGATTTTAACAAAATATTAAATAATTTAACTATTTAATCTCGTATAGGGAGATAAATACAAAATATTTTGTATCTTATATTCAATAATTCATATTATTAAAATATTTCATATTTTATAAAATATATAAAATATTAATGAAATTAAGAAAATTATAGCAATATATCATCAAACTAAAAGTAGGTTAAACAATCTTATATGGTAATCATATTTTCCATTACTCTATTTCATCAGGGAGAAGCAGCACAGGCCCTTGCTAAACAGCATCCAACTGCTTTACAACTTTCTATCTCATCGAGCATTGAACGAATTTCACTCTTGTGACATCGGCAATACACATCTAAATGGTATTTTTATTCGATATGATTTTAACAAAATATTAAATAATTTAACTATTTAATCTCGTATAGGGAGATAAATACAAAATATTTTGTATCTTATATTCAATAATTCATATTATTAAAATATTTCATATTTTATAAAATATATAAAATATTAATGAAATTAAGAAAATTATAGCAATATATCATCAAACTAAAAGTAGGTTAAACAATCTTATATGGTAATCATATTTTCCATTACTCTATTTCATCAGGGAGAAGCAGCACAGGCCCTTGCTAAACAGCATCCAACTGCTTTACAACTTTCTATCTCATCGAGCATTGAACGAATTTCACTCTTGTGACATCGGCAATACACATCTAAATGGTATGTTTCTCCTTAATCAGTTCAATGAGCAACACACTGAGTATCGTGGGTTAAGAAAGACAACATGGTGGATATTATTTTTGAGCAAAATCACACATATTATGAAGTAACAATTGCCAACATAAGCTTAGGCCTCAAGCAACAATGTCCACAAGCTCATAAACCAATTACGTAAATGGAAATCATAAACCAATCTCGCTTATGGGTGACAACGACAGGTTATACTCAACGTAACAACAGCTCAACGGTGGAGATGAGGTAACTTGGCTCCTAAGCAACAACAACACTGGTTGAAACATCATTCACTCTCTCATGAAAAATAAGTGGAGACATGGTGATGAGCGTGAAAGAGGTCAGCTTCCACTTCAACAACTTCGTGTTAATAATCTTTTGCATCTCATAGGCAAACTTTTATTCAAGAATAAGAGATCAATATGATAAGCAGAGAAACAAACCTTGAATCATTTGGATGGACGGAATAATAATGGTTTGGGGAGATTGAATAAAACCCCAAGTGTAGTCTTTTCTTCGCCGTTAGAATCTTATGGTCTAGATGTTTGCTCTTTGAGTTCTTCACATGCGTTCAACTTAGTTCTTTGTTGTTTCAGACTCGTCTCAAATTTTGTTGATATCGGTGAAATCTAATGAACAATTTTTAACGAATCCTTTGAAAATCAACCATATGCTCGTATTATTCATGTTTTTGAGCAAGAATTAACTCAAGAATTAAGAATTAACTTTTTGTTTCGTTGTTCCCGTATCAACTTTTTTGATTATGTCCTCGTCTTCTTCTGTAATATTACGGAGACTCCAATGAAATCACACCAAACACCTCATTAAATCCTCAAAAATAACTTGTTACTACAGAACCACACAACACCGCAAGGTTGAATGGTTAATAGCCCTAGAACCTAAACCCGAAATATCCATCCACGTTGAATCTCGTCAAGAAGAATTATAACGATCAAAATCACTAAACATATCAATACTCAATCACAAAGCTCCATTCTGAATCATTAAGCAGATTGTGGCCTTTTACTATCGTAGTTCCAAACCCCACTTAAAATAATCAATACTCAAACCCAGCTCTATAATTAATCATTAAGCATATCATGATCTTCTATTGTAATCGACATCTAGTCTGCTACTTTATGCCTCCGAGAAAGATTGGTGGCGAAGAAGAAAAGAGGTGGTTAATTTGTATACCACATGTGGTTTTATATTTACTAGTGTTGCCACCCGTGCATACGCACGGGACATATTAGTTTGTTTTATAAGTTAATAATAAATTAATTGAACGGTGATTACAATTATATTTTGTGTCTTAAAAGAGTCAAAGTACATATGGGATTATCTGTTGAAATATGTAAATAAAATCATATTTGTGAGATATCTGAATGGGAAAAAATCATAGATCCAATATGTAACTAAAATCATAGATATACTCCAATAACAAAACATAAAAGGATACATTGAACTAAAGGGGAAAAAACGACAATTACAACATACATAATTACATATCATGTTATATCTACTATTACACATACACAACACAAACGTGACAAACAAAATAGATAAAAACGATGAAAATTGTCTTGTGTGGTGATTCTTACCATTAAAATTTAAGAAGCTCGTTGCTGCTTTTGTTGTTGTTCGTGATGGACTCCAATGTTGTGCTGCCCATTCTTCGTATCCTGCCCTCTGGTCCCTAGCTTCATTCCAGCTCAATCAATTGGTCTGATCCAGACCCCGTCACATGCCTAAAGACAGGAGTCTCCAATACTCAGACTCTCTAATACGATAGTTAGTGCAGAGCAAGGTAGGGTTTGAAAAACTTAGGTCACATTTTCTGTATGTAAATTACCTATAGGGCCAAGAGAAGGCGGTAATGACGGCTATGCCAAAGCCACCGAAGGCTAGGAATCCGGTGATGATGAGAACAACGATGATTACTGCTACAAAATGGCTTGCAACTGTACATTGTAGATCAATATGAAGCTATCTGCATACATCAAGCATATAAAACTTTTACACATACATTGAAACAGACCAAATCCAGTTTTCATTCTTTTAGGATTCAAAACTCATAAGGCTTTTGATCAGGTAATTTAAATTGTTCTCATCTCCTGCAAAATGAAATTGATCTGCCAATTTCATAAACACTAACTCTCCAGCTAAACGGGTATTAAAATAACAATAAGTAATTGTGAAAAAGAAGAGTACCTTCTAACGAAAGCATGGTGAATGTCTTGGCCGTACTTTTTAGCAATTTGAATCCTTTCTCCAATTCTCTCAATTTGAAACAGTTTTAGAACTGGTTTCTGAATTTCTTTAACAATTTCGTTTTGATAGAAGCTTGAATTCTGTCTCCCTGTAAGCAAAAAACAATAGAGTGAAACTCATATTTCTAACAAAAGCAAACGATACCAAAAAACATTAAAAGCAAAATATAGTAAAATCAACAATGGTGTCTACAGAGATTGATTACCTTTTTATCCACCAATATGAGTTCCATGCCGAGAATAGAATCGGGCTTCTCATGTGGATGAAAACCCCAAACTCTGAAATCAAAACTCTGAAATCAAAACTCTTATTTTCCAATTTTTGTTTCGAAGAATTGAGCATCAAAACAGGAGTATAATCCAATGGCTGATGAAAATGAAAAGTCTGCAAACAACTTGATTTATTTGAAGAGAACTCGAATATGAAACTTAAACCGGAGCTGAAAAAACTTTCAGTGAAAATCGATAAATTGAAGATAATGGAATAATGAATCTGAGCAAAATATCAAACGAAAAAACTCGAAGTTTAGTATATTAGGGATGACTGCTGAAACAGAGAAAAATTGTAACGAATCAAAAAATCTGATTAGAATTCGAAGCAGATTCTTTCAGTGAAACGATGACGGAAAATAGAAAGGGACAAAAAAAGATGAAAATTTTGAAACTTAAAATAAACCGAGGAAGACACACCTTTATAGGAGATGAGTGAGATACTGAGATTTATGGAGGATCATGATTAACAGTTGAGTTTCTAAACACGATCGTGAAAGTGGTAAGTTAAGATGCGTAAAATTAGGGACGTTGGGGGAAAGAGGTTACAGAGATCGTGTTCTTTTGGAAGAAAGAAAATGGTTGTTAACATTTCGACATAATCATTTAACTGGGCTTAATATTTTGTGGGCTAAGTGGTTAACTCATATGGCCCATTTATGATTTTCTCTTTCTTTGATTTTAATCATCCGAATTTTAAAAAGAAATGATTAACATGACATGTAATTAATTTAAGATGATTAGCGTTTTTTTTTTCTTTAAACTTGCCAGATGTCGCTTCACCATTGGTGGAGTGACTTGTGCTTTAGTATATTAGGGATATATTGGGATTTAGGTCTAAATTTTAGGTTTTTTTTGTTAGTTTTCTATTTATTTATATAAATTTTTGTTTTTTAAGAATTAAATTTTAATATAAATATTAATATGACGAAAATATTATTATTTTATAATTTAAACAATTAAATTCGTAAATAATAACAAAAAGGGAAATTACGAAGATTTAATAATAGATTTTCATGACGGGTATGTGAGTAATCAACCAGCTGAGATTGAATGTGGTGCTTCTAAACGAAATTTTCACTTCGCAAATAATATATTAGACTAGTTGAGTACCCGCACGTTTGTGCGGTGTGACGTTGTTGTTTTGTGTAGAAAATTTAAACCCTAAATCCGAACCCGACAAAAAACCCTAATAAAAAAATTTAAAAACCCAAACTTTTTTAATAGGTCTAAACATGAAAATCCGAAATCAAAAAAATCCCGAAAACCCTGACTGAACAAAAAAAATCTGGAAACTTTTTCACCCGGAACCCGACCCCAATACCTAATCAAAATTTTAAAATACTCAATTTTTTTAATATATCTAAACCCGAAAACCAGAAATCTAAAAAATCCGGAAAACCCTAAACTGAAAAAAAAATTGAACCTAACCCGAACAGAAATTTTCAAAGAAACCCGAACAATTTCTATATCTCTATATATATCTCTATAAAATTATGTCTCAGATTTTCACCCAAACCCGAATTATGTTAAGTTTTCTTTTTTGCATATTTTAAGAGATGAAAAACGGAAGTTTTCTAAACCATCGGTTTATTTTAAGTTATTATTCTTGTATCCAAACAATTTTTTCCATTTATTCTTCTATCCAAATAGATTTTTCTCTTATTCTTATATCCAAACAACTTTTGTTTCCATTTATTCTTCTATCCAAATAGATGTTTCTCTAATTCTTGTATCCAAACATTAGAATGTACTTCTCAATTAATAATATAAAGATTAAAGAACTTACAATCTCCTTAAGTTTTGCAAATTCCAGATGTAAGAAGGAATTGGACCAAACAAACTCAAATTCCTTAAAATCCTGGAGGAGTAATAGTGACATTAGTTTGACAAGAAAAAATAAAATAAAAACCATTAGCTTCAGTGGGAAAAAAATAAACACAGGATTTCGATGGCTTTGCTGGACAGAATTGGAAAAGAGTTTATCCCAGCCCTATCACTAATTCTCCTGTACACAACATGAGTCTTGTTTCAGTTATTGTCCTTTTGAAATCTATGAAAGGTAAATCAATAATTACAGATCAATAAGATTCTCTAGGCGGGTCACTGCATCAGGAATAGGTCCTTTGAGTCCACTCGCGTACAGATATCTGCCATAATTGATAGATACATAACTGGTTAGTCACTGTTGATGTGCCTTGAATCTGTCAATGTATGCATATTGGTTGAGTAGGCGGTGATGTGTACATGCTCTTTGATCAGCCATGATGTTACACACTGAAGCTACAGTCTGCGACTCTGTGTGATGCTATATACTGAAGCTACAGTCTGCGACTCTGTGTGTTCCTACACACTGAAGCTACAGTCTGCGACTCTGCGTGATGCTACATGATGAAGCTGCAGTCTGCGTGATGATACATCCTGGAAGTTACGTAAGGCTGCAGAGAAGGCGCATACAGGCCGCACAGTGGTCAGTTCGTGATGTCTACATGGGCTTCAGTGTGGAAGCCCAACTCACATACTATTAGGGTTTCTAGGTCTTTCCTATAAGTAACTTCGTTATCTTAATGTTGATGTATTCTGAAATTTTCTGCCTCCATCAATAAATCAGTCTCCTTTGCCCGTGGATGTAACCAACACATCGTTGGTGAACCACGTTAATTCTGTGTCGTGTTCTTTACTTTTACTGCTTCTTCTCGCATCTGTTATAACAGTCACGGTACATAAACATCAACGATAAGGAGAAATTAAAAAATTGGGGACAAAGCTTACGTACAGCTTTTGAAGCAGAGACCAGTTGCCAATATATCCTGGGATGTTTCCACTCAAGTTATTTTCGGGGAAGATAAATAGAAAACACTAAATAGATAGATAGAAAGCACTCAAGATCTCATAGCTATCTCATTAAAGCACTCTCAAGATCTCATAGCGATCTTGTTGACAGACTCATAGCGTCTAGGTCAAATCACAACTAGAATATTCAGCATGAATATTAGAAAGACAGCCAATATATTTATACTAAACTATATGAGAGAACTTTCCTTTTACTTTAAGAGCTTAAGGAAGTTTTACAATTCACTTTCTTTCTTGTTTCTCTCAACAATGACGGTTGTTGAATCTCTTTGGGCCTATCAATACCCCCCTTTCGAAGACCCAGCTTGTCCTCAAGCGTAATGAGGTGAAAACTCCATCAAATCTCCAATCAGCTTATTGTTTTCTTCCTGCAATTCACCCAAGTCTTGATCTAATACCTCCATTGGAAACCCATTAATGACAGTAAGAACTTGAAGCTCTCTTTTTGAACAAGGATGACCCTTATAGAATGGTCCTTTGCACTTGAAACAGATCTTGTTTCTCCTCATATCATCAAGTTCTGCATCAGTGTGTTGTTGCCGTGGACGTAACGGAACGTGTGATGAGCTATTCTGGCCAGTATCCAATGGTTGAGAACCTCCAGTGTTGACCTCCACCATAGTACCAACATGATTGTTGTGACTTGGAAAAGATTTTTGTGGCTGAAAAATTGTAGTAGACTTGAAAGTTTGAAGGCTGCTTTGTGATTTAGGCTCTCCCATTACCTGACAAAAAAACAGAAGATTGCATCTTCATAACAGCTGCCTTGTGATTGGTCAATCCTTGAAGATCTTTCATCTTTATAACTTCCTTCATCGCAGGTTTTAAGCCATTGTAAAAGGCATTCGTCAAGGTGGCTTCACTAATACCAGTCACTTGAGTTGAGAACTCCTCAACTCATTGATATACTCTACAATCTCTCCAGTTTGCTGTATGCACAGTAAACATTTCCCTGGCTCATCGTCAATTGCCAGAGTAAACCGCACCAGAAGTCGTTGTTTAAAGTTCTCCCAATCAGAGAAGGGTACATTAACAACTTCACTATTGAACCAGTTCAAAACAGCTCCATCCAAGCACAAACAAACGAGCTCCAACTTCTCTTCCTCTGCATACTGACCCAAACGAAAAAACCTCTCTACTCTAGCAATCCATCCATACGGCAAGCGACCATCAAAGACAGGCATATCGATCTTCCGTAGCATACTATCACGAGTTTCTAAAGCACCAGATATTCTCCGACAACCTAGCGATTTAGCTTCCTAGGTCAAGAAGAGGATGATTTACCTGAGGTGAATCAAGCGATGATGATTTAGTGCCGCTCGTTTGACCATGTCCTGAGGAAGTATTAGCTTCGATGCGTGAAAGGATTTGAGCAAACGATGTCATCTGTGTCTCCAACGCTCCAAGCCGTGATGACATGCTCTCACAGCCAGCCTTGATTGCTGAGACCTCTCCACGTACTTCTCCCAAAGATCCCTCAAGCTGTGTAATTCGGTCTTCACACTCCTTAACAGTCATTATTGTTGTAAATCTGAAGCTCCAATCACGTTCTGTCCGAACCAGTATCACGAACGCACCAATTTGATAGAACCCAAACCCTAACTCTATTCTTTATTAGAATAACACCGATTACAATAGATAGATAGATAGAAAGCACTAGATAGATAGATAGATAGAAAGCACTCAAGATCTCATAGCGATCTTGTTGACAGACTCATAGCGTCTAGGTCAAATCACAACTAGAATATTCAGCATAAAAATTAGAAAGACAAAACCAATATATTTATACTAAACTATATGATAGAACTTTCCTTTTACTTTAAGAGCTTAAGGAAGTTTTACAATTCACTTTCTTTCTTGTTTCTCTCAACAATAACGGTTGTTGAATCTCTTTGGGCCTATCAGTAGCCTTTTTTTATTTAATTTACATTCATCTGGATAGAGTGCTGATGAAGTGGATCTTGCTAGACCCGAGAAGAAGCTTGTGATGATGGTGAAGAACACAAGAAGAGAAGAGAAGAAGATCCACATAATCAATATAAAAAATAATGTCTCCTTGTTTTGGGTAGTCACAAGAAGATAATATATTATGGAAATTATCAGATACTTTCATGGTCTTCTTTGGTCGTCGGTCGTCGCCTTGTCGTCTAATAGAGACCAAAAGTGCATATTGAATTATTGTGCAACTTGCAATAGTAAACAGTACAATTTATCTTTCTTCATGAATGCTTTATGCTTTACGTTGGATAAGCTTCAACATTAGCTTCAAGCCTAAGATGTCTTTACCAAGTTGGGTTAGGATAAGGTAAGATATGCTTATACAAGCCTAACATGATTAGCAAAGTTGTGCCAACACTAAAAATATGTTGTCGAGTTGTGACAAACATATTAAGAACATTGAGAGCTTGTGTTTAGTTTTGAGAGAGTTTCTAAACATTAATAAAGGGAGGCATTCTTTATCTAAATATTACAGTGACGAGGAAGATAACTATGCTGTGGAGTTTAAGGTGGCGGTTTCTGAATGAAGTGGGAACAGAAGATCATCATAACCAGACATGGAGTCAAGCTGATGGACTGTTATAAAGTCCCACTGCAGCATTGTAGCCGTCACATTTTTGCTTATCAATTAAAAAACCCCTTTTTTTTCTCAAGCGTTTGCCTTGCGAGATTGTTCTTTTGCTTGTTTATGTGCGTGTGTGAGATTCACCATAGATCGAGTGTTTGCTGTATCAAAGAGATTATCCATACTCTCTGTGGTGCCATCGACTTCCCCCATCGTTTCCATTCATAGATCGCACAAGAGAGAGCTTAGGCCAGCTTGTTTGATCCCATCCGACCGTTGTTTGATCTTACACCAGGTCTTCATAACTTAGGTTCACTCTCTTTATACCAAGTGTAGTAGCTATCTCCTCAAGCGCATTCCCTGCAAAAATTGTAGAGTACACATATGGATGTTGACCTCTGATATTAAAAAAGAAAGTAACCTTTTGATTTAATGTACATTCAGCTGGATGGAGAGCTGGTGAAGTGGATGTTGTTAGAGTCGCAAAGAAGCTTGTGATGATTGTGAAGAACACAAGAAGAGAAGAGAAGGCGATCCACAACTATCAAGAAGAGATTAAATAATATGGAAATTATCAAGCAAGACTTTCATGGTCTTCTTTGGTCGCCGCCTTATCGTCTACTAGAGACCAAAAGTGAATATTGAATTACTGTGCAACTTGCAATAGTAACAGTACAATTATCTTTCTTCATGGATGCTTTATGCTTTATATGTTGGATAAGCTTCGACAGTAGCTTGAAGCCTAAGATGCCTTTCCAAGTTGGGTTATATTAGGATAAGATAAGATATGATTATACAAGCCTAATATGATTAGCAAAGTTGTGTCAACACTAAAGTTATGTTGTCGAGTTGTGACAAACATATTAAGAACATTGAGAGCTTGTGTTTAGTTTTGAGAGAGTTTCTAAACATTAATAAAGAGAGACATTCTTTATCTAAATATTACAGTGACGAGGAAGATAACTCTGCTGTGGAGTTTAAGGTGGCGGTTTCTGAATGAAATGGGAACATAAGATCATTATAACCTGACGTGGAAGTTGACTCCATCAGATAACCGGAGTTGTTTTTTCCAAGTACTCATAGACGAGCATCAGTTGATTCTTGTCGACACAGCAACCATAAAGCTTGACAAGATTTGGATGATTAAGACCTGAGATCATTCCTATCTCATTCACAAACTCTCTGTTTCCTTGGCATGACTTTGAAGAAAGCTGCTTCACTGCTATGAGACTTCCATCTGAAAGCTCTCCCTGCATTATTATGTTTTTCATTTCAGAAACCAACAAAGCATACATATTTGAAGAGAACTTGGCATCTGTTTAAGCATACTTTGAATACGGATCCGAAACCTCCTTCTCCAAGTTTGTTGGCTTCATCAAAATTGTTTGTTGCAGCCTGCAGTTGCCTCCAAGTAAAGCAAACCGTTTGCAGACCCTGAGCTCCCAGATCTACGTGATCATGTTCCAAAGTTAAAATCATCAGCAGAAATGAGGAATGGATTCTCATATAATTTGTAAACTTTGATACCTCTTTCTCTGGTGTTCTTGTCGCTTCTGCATCTTGTATGAGCATATAATCCCAAAGCTAAGAGAATAAGTGCTACCAAAGGACCCGTTACACCGAAAATTAGCGGATAATTAGTGTGTTGTTTCTCCACTGCAAATGAGACCCAAGAAGTGTTAATTTATATACCTATCTACTGAAATATGTTTATGTAACAACGTAATTAATTTTTCTTTTGGGAGCTCCACAATGTTGCTCCAGACCTGAAAATTTTGAAACAAGAACATTATTGCTTGGTGGGGTGGCAAGAACAAGTACCAAGAAGATGAGTTTGCTCAAGCAGGGGAGAAGAAGTGTTACTTACTGTGACACAAGGAGATGGCAGAGATAAGAGGACCATAATTTCCTCTTTTAGGAATGAGTGTTGTCCCTTTCCCCGCCCAATATAACCGAATCTCTAAAGTATGATCCGTCACATTAACAGCTTTTGCTTCTTTCACAACTGGCTTCAGAGTCCCATTAGCCTCCTCTTTGATGTTAAAATCCTTCAAGAACAATTTTCCCTAACAGCGGAGCAAAAAGCAACTTAGTTAGATTAGAAAAAATAGTTATTCATACAAAAGAAAAGAAAAAGCTGGTATCTTCCATGCAACTTATTTTCAAGTATGATATACAAATTAAAAGAGCAAGTTAATTACGTTTTTACCTGAACAAAGACATCAAATATGCGCCTACCTTGACGATTAAATAGTTCTTCGTCTGAAAACTGAATCTCCATAAAATGGAGTTTCAAGTTGTAGGCTCCATTCTCCAAGCAAAACGCATAATAAACAAGAGAGAGAGAGAGCAGATCGACGTGCAGTCTTATAAAGATGAGGAGAATCTCCAGACGGTGTTAAACTAGTTGAAATGATGTATACGTCATCGTCAACTGCATCATCAGCAAAGTCACCAGTGCTACTGATTCCCAGTTTTTGGAGTGCAGATTTGTAGCGGCTTTGATCTCACTGTTATCAGCTTGGTAAGTGATTTTACCCGAGGAGTTTGTAGTAGTTACACTTTCTCCACCACAATTAATATGTAGGGATCGCTGATCTACAACCAACAACGATTATTACTTGCATTGAATTAAGTGAGTGCTTCAAATTCTCTAATGCATTTTAGACAAGTTAGACCGGCTCAGTGTGTACTTACATTTCCTGCATTTGATTGGAACAGCACATGGAAAAAGCTCAGTTCTGTATGACAAGAGGACCACAATGTTTAAGCATTTTCTAATCAGCACAAATTACTACTGCCGCATTCGAAAACAAGAGATTACTAAGTTTCATCAATTCTTGTTGCAGAAGAGTGAACTTACAAATTGTTCTTCATATATGAGCTCCGGTATGTGTTAATGTTACTGATGCAATAGAAAAAAAGAGAGCATAAACTTCAATATGAGCATGTTATTAACAAATAGTTACAAATGTTTGGGTTTGTACCTCCTTTCCTGGCAGCTAGACGACCATGAGAAATTGTTATAAGAGAGATCACTGTGAAGATTCACCAAATGTAGAAAAACCAACTGGAAGATTAGTTTAAATGACGGAAGAATTTCTCAAACCATACAAAAAAAATGGGAAAGCCTGAAACGTACATATTTGATTTGCTGTTGAGGAAAACACCAGATTTGATGTTTCCGGAAAGCATATTGCCAGCCAAATAGCTGCAAGAACATGTCAAAACTATAAATTATTTGTGTGTGATTCTGTGATACTCATCTTAAACTATCCGCATGTTACTTACGTATATTTTGGTGCTAATTTTATTCCAAAAACTTCACCAGTCAACTTGTTAAAAGATAAATCACTGCAGCACCAAACAACATGTACAAAACAAATGAATCTCTTTTGGTATGAACATCTTTGAGTAAATCTTGTCAATATCGCATATATAAATCTATAAATTCTGCACAAGTTTTAAACAGATCATGTCACACTTGCATATCACTCTCACAAAAAAGTCACTTAATTTTTCTTCTCTATATGCACATCTAGAATTAAACATATTAATGTATGATGTCATGAGTGGAACATATTCCAGAGTCTCTTTCTCACCCCAAAAGAAAACAAACAAAAAAACTTACAGAGTTCTCAATTGGACCAGACAAATTAACATTCCTCAAAATCCTGAAACAGGGACAGAAACTTAAGTATCACATAATCAAGTTTCATTAGAAAACACATACAGGTTTTTTATGGCTTTGCTAGATATATTAGGAAATGAGTGTATCCCAGTCGTATCACTGATACTCCTGCGCATAAAAAGCCATCAGAGTCATTTCGAAGGAACTTTTGCTAATCAAAATGAAAGAACAAAAAAAGTAGTTAATTACAGTTCAGTGAGATTTTCTAGGCGGGCCACTGCGTCAGGAATAGGTCCTTTCAGTCCACTTGCGTATAGATCTCTGTTATATCAAAATCGACAAAACTTAGATGACACTGAAACACAAAACTATACGAAAAACTACAGTCAGTGATGATGGACAAATCGTACAGCCTTTGAAGCCGAAACCAGTTGCCAATATATTCTGGGATGTTGCCAGTGAAGTTATTATCACATATCCTACTGCATAATGCCAATAAAAATTTCGATAAAGTTTCAAACAATTTCGTCAAAGTTTCAAACTTTACTCATCGTCAAACTACTGCACAATCTTACAACTTTACTCATCAATAAAACAACAATTTCGTCAAAGTTTCAAACTTTACTCATCGTCAAGCCTCTAATTAGAGAAGAGCATTTCCAATTAACAAGGCCATAAAGAAAAAAGCGTTTTTGAAAGCAAAAGCTTACAATTTCTCAAGGTTTACAAGTTTAGCGAGAGTGCTAGGAAGGCTTCCTGTAAATTGATTGGACGCAAGTTCCCTGCAAAAACCAAGTTTTTCGTTCCATAAAACCAAAGATTATGAAGAATGTTACCACATATGATACAAAGAGAATCTTACAATCCTGTTAAGGTGGTCAAGTTACCAAGCTCATCAGGAATCGGACCAGCGAACTGGTTTGCTTCAACCCCTCTGAGAATTTCATCACATCGCCGTAAATATCAGGTCAAATCAAAAGGCAGGAATAGTAAACAGTTAGCTCCGTACAGGAATGTCAGATTCTTGAAGTTTTGCAAACCAGTTGGTAAATTCCCAGACAAACGATTCGCGCAGAGCGAGCTGCGAGCAGATTCAAAGTTAACTCGCAAATCATCAAGACAAAATTGACGGAGCTGAGAAAGAGAGAGAGAGAGAGAGCGCTAACATGTAAGTGAGGTTTGGCAAAGAAGCCCACTCCATTGGGATTGAGCCCGAAAGGTAGTTTCGGCACAGGTTTCTGCAAAGAAAAGCATAAACTCACTATATACATTGTTGGTTCTCATGGCTCTCTCTTCTTTCGCTCCAGGTTTTGTGTTATATAAGATCAACAAAATAACATTTGTGGCAATAAACCACAAAAAGGCTGTGTTTTTTTTTTATTCATTTGGCAAAATTTGGAAGTTACGTTGGGTAGTATTTTTGTTTGTTATAGGATTTTTCTCTATACATAGACTGTAATCATCGAATTATTTAAATTAATTTGAAACTTATATCTTCTGAAGATACTTAAGCTTGGCTAACTCAGGCGGAAGTTTCCCTGAAAGACTTGAGGACTTGAGAAATCTGTGATTGTTAAATTCAACAAACACATTAGAAAAGTAGAGAGAGTAAAGATTTGATAAGAGAAGATAAAAGAGATATTTAACACTCACAATTCTGTAATATGACATGTGGTGTTGTTGTTGAAGCTACAATCACAAGAAATGGTGTTGACCATATCCGACTTGGAAACAAGACCAATTTTTAGAGTTCCTAAACGGCATGGGTCTTCATAACTTAGGTTCAGTCTCTTTAGACCAAGTGTAGTAGCTATCTTCCCAAGCGCATTCACTGCACATATTATAGAGTATATATATATGGATGTTGACACCTATGATATTAAAAAAAAAAAGAATTTAAGATTTTGATTTAGTATATACATTCATCTGGATGGAGTGCTGGTGAAGTGGATGTTGTTAGAGTCGCCAAGAAGCTTGTGATGATGGTGAAGAACACAAGGAGAGAAGAGAAGATGATCCACATAATCGATATAAAGTAATCTCTGCTTGTTTTGGTTAGTCTCATTTCTGCAACTATCAAGAAGAGATTAAATAATATGGAAACTATCAAGCAAGACTTTCATGGTCTTCTTTGGTCGTGTCTATTAGAGACCAAAAGTTAACATTGAATTATTGTGCAACTTGTAATAGTAAACAGTACACTTATCTTTGTTCACTCATGAATGCTTTTTGACTCATTGTTGTATATGATCTGACCACTATTCATGAATCAGTGGGGAATTTTTTTTGTAATGTTGCAAATTATGTATATGGTCAGTTTAAATGTTGATCAACTTTCTCTTGCGTGTCCATTTGATGCCATGCGAGTCAAACACAGAGAGAAAAAACTATGCAAATGGTTTTGGAAGAGTTGTAAAAAAAGAGACTTTGATTCAGCAAGCATGAGTGGATTTTCGTAAAAGGATATAATTCGAGTTTGACAAACATATATAACCTGTGTTTCTGGATCTATACAAACTGAGCTGGTAGTAAGGCTTAAGACAAATACGGCTATAAGTAGCTAACTGTAAATAAGATAACTTCACAAACTTTACTTCTACTCATAGGAGATATAGCCATTCTTACAGCTTTAGATTATTACAGTGGCGGGGAAGGAAACTCAACTGTGGAGTTAAGGGTCGTGGATTCAGGGTATAAAGGGTAGAGATCAGAACCAGAAACAGAGGATTTCATTGTCGTTGCTGTTTGCTCTGTCACACCAGACGTGCTCGAGCTACCATTTTATGTATCAATGTCCCTCACCTTTGACATGCTCCAGTCGTGTCCATATAAACCAGGATCCGACACAACCTTTGTTATTTCCATCTCTCCCTGGAGCATTTGCACAGCCTCCGACATTGTTGGCCTTAAGGAAGGAGATGAGTTGGTGCAAACGAGAGCAACTTTGATCATCCTCACTGCTTCTTTGCTGCTGAAATCACCTTCGAGCACTGGATCTACAATCTCCATTGTGTCCCCTCTCTGTTGCAACGCCAACGCCTGAGATTTGATGTAAGAAACAGGTTTCATTAGACTTGTAAAAACAGAAATACAAATATTCAGCTATAAAAGTTGTGAATTGAATGGGCTTAAAGAGTTGTTACCCAATTGATAAGCGAGACGTGATCAGCACTTCCCTTCTGTTTAGTATTACTCTTCCCACTAACAATCTCCATTGCCACAACACCGAAGCTGTACACATCTGCTTTCTCTGTTAGTTGACCCCACAATGCATATTCCGGAGCCATATATCCGCTGCGTTATAAGAGAAACCAAGACTGAGATATATAAATCTCTCGTCAGGGTGGTGAATTTTGTTTTATAAACTACTCATACATGGTTCCTGCAATTTTGGTGCTAATGTGAGTGTGTTCTTCTTCATGGAGCCTAGCCAATTCAAAATCCGATATCTTTGCATTGAGGTCAGCGTCTAGAAGCACATTTGTGGTTTTTATATCACGGTGAACCATCCTGATGGTTGATCCTTGGTGGAGGAATTCAAGTCCTCTATCGATTCCCACACATATTTTCTGTCTCTCTGCCCAGTTCAATATCCGGGAGCTTTTTCCTGGCAATGGATGCAAACCACAGAGAAATGATATCAGTCTAAACATTTGAGTTAGACTCCAAACAAATTTCTAAGGAAACATAATTACCGGACAGCGCAAGAGCAAGGGAGTTATTTTCCATGTACTCATAGACGAGCAGCAACTGATCCTTCTCCACACAGCAACCATGAAGCTTGACAAGGTTCGGATGATTAAGACCTGAGATCATTCCTATCTCATTCACAAACTCTCTGTTTCCCTGGCATGACTTTGAAGATAGCTGCTTCACTGCTATGGTAGTTCCATCAGAGAGCTCTCCCTGCATTTTCTCAGTTATTTATATCAGAAACCAAAAGCAGCCATATTTTCTCATGTATCTACGTTTGAGAAGAGCTGGTTTTTTTTTGGCATACTTTGAATACGGATCCAAAACCTCCTTCTCCAAGTTTATTTGCTTCATCAAAATTGTTTGTTGCATCTTGCAGTTGCCTCCAAGTAAAGCAAACAGTTTGCAGACCCTGAGCTCTCAGATCTACGTAGAGAATCATAAATAATGGCCTTAACGAATCAGTCATGCATGTATCAAAAATAAATATTTTGTGAACTCTGATACCTCGTTCTCTTGTGTAATTGTGTTCTTGTCTCTTATGCATCTTCTCCGGCCATACATTCTCAACGCCAACAGAATGATAGTTACCGAGGCACCCACTGCCCCCAAAACTAGTGGGTAATTAATGTGATGTTTTATTTTCTCAGCTGCAAATTAGAGACTAAAAGTGTAAATAGCAGTTGCATCATGTTTAAACGAAGCTACAGAAAGATGTTTTTAACAAAGTGTTTTTCTCTGTCTTTCTACCTCCGCATAGTGGCTCCTCACCTGAAATTTTGAAAGATGAATATTATCATTAGGTGGCAGGAACGAGTGTCAAGAAGCATAAGCACCAAAAAAGGAACCATTAATGAAAAAGTAATAATCTGAAGTTATGGCCATTTGAGAATGAAACAACTCGAAGGTTATGTAAGCACAGACTTGAGATAGTAAGGAAATTTGGAGCTTCAACAAGCAGAGGAAAAGAAGTGTTGCTTACTGTGACACACGGAGATTACAGAGATAAGAGGACCATAATTTCCTCTCCCAGGAATGAGTGTTGTCCCTTTCCCCGCCCAATATAACTGAATCTCTAACAGATGTTCGGTCACATTAACAGCTTTCACTTCTTTAACAAAAGACTTGAGAGTCCCATTAGCCTCCTCTTTGATGTTAAAATCTTTCAAGACCAATTTTCCCTAACATGGGAGAGAAAGGAAAAATGAAAATGAACTTCAATCTTACATGCTTGACCAGACAAAACAATCTATTCAGTAAACAATGACACTTTACCTGAATATAGACATCAAATATGCGTCTGGCAAGATTACTGTACACGTCTACAAACTGAATCTCCATAAAATGGAGTTTCACATTGTATGGTCCATTTTCCAAGCAATACGCATAATAAACAAGAGAGAGAGCAGATCGACGTGCGGTCTTAAAAAGATCACGAGAATCTTCAGATGGCATTTTACTAGTTGTAATGATGTACGTATCAACCTCACTATTATCATCCGAGAATGCACCTGTGTTACTGACTCCCCAGACTTTGTATTGATTATTTGTTGCCGCGGTTGTTTTGTTGTTATCAGCTTGATAAGTGATTTCATGAGAAGAGTTTCTAATAACTATGTTGTCTCCACCACATATGTAATGTTCGCTGATCTTCATTCCATAATGATTATAGCCAACCAACAGAAAGAGAGAACTAACTAGGTAAACAGACAGCAGAATATATATATATATATATATATATATATATATATGCATAATAGAGATAAGTTAAGACCCGCTCATTATGTACTTACAGCCCGTGCAGTTGACTGGACCAGCGCAGGGAAGAAGCCCAGTTCTGTATGAATAGTTAGGCATATCATCAACACAAGTTATTCGAACCAATTCTATTGCCGCAATTGAAAGCAAGATATTTATTAGCGTTGTATGTTCTTGTTGCAAGAGAAAGCAGAAGAGTGTACTTACAAATTGTTCTTCAAATATGAGCTATGGTATGTGTTAATGTTCCTGTTTCAAATTCAACAGTAAGTGAAAACAGAAAATTTAACTTTAGCAGATTATTATCAACAGATAGCAAACATATCCAATCTGCCAAGATTTTATGTTCCCACCTCTTATCCTGGCAGCTAGACGACCATGTGAAATTGTTGTAAGAGAGAAAACCAGCAAAAAGATTAGTTCACATGATGCAAAATACTTCAAGTCACATAGACATGGGAAAGCCTAAACGTACATATTAGATTTGCTTCTGAGAAAAACACCAGATTCAACGTCTCCGGAAAACCGATTTGCAGTCAAATAGCTGAAAGAACATGTCAAAACGTTACATACTTGATAATGAATTCATGATACTGTGATATCTTTAACATTCTCAATCTCAGATTGTAGTACTTACGTAAATTCTCGCGCTCTTGCTTCATTAATTTCACCAGTCAAATTGTTAAACGATAAATCACTGCAGAAAATGTGTAGAAAAAAAGAGGTAAAATTCATAGATTCCGAAAAAGTTCCTATACAGACCCTCTCATACTTGCATATCACTCTCTAAAAAAGTTGCCTTTTTTATCTCTCAGTGATTAATTACCAATGAGTCCATGGTAATCTAAACATAGTAAATATAAGCATATAAATGAACAATGTCATGAGAATATGTATCTAGTCGTACCAAAATTCCTCAGCAGGTAAATGTGGAGTAAATATTGAACAAGCTAGTTCTGACAAGTTTTAAACTTACAAAGTCTACTTTGTTCACTTGTGGCCAGAAAGAACTTACATAGTCTTTAGGTTTGGCAAATTCCAGATGTAAGAAGGAACTGGACCAGACAAGCTCACATTCCTCAAAATCCTGGAACAGGGAACAGAGATATTAGTATGGCAGCTGTAATTAAAAAAAATAAGCATCAAGACGACAAGCCGATGATAAATACAGGTGTTTGATGTCTTTGCTGAATAGAATTGGAAAGGAGTTTATCCCAGACGTATCACTAATTTTCCTGCAAACATTAATAATGCTTAAAACATCAGCTTCGATGATCCTTTTACTAATCTATTAAAAGTAGTTCATTACAGTTCGACAAGATTCTCCAATTTATGGTTTCATATATTGATGTTGGATTGATTGAAAGCAGAAGAGCTGAGCGTGCTAGGAAAAGAAAAGCAAAAATTGGAAACTAGATAGTTAGCCTTCCAATTTATCGTTTCATATATTGATGTTGGATTGATTGAAACTAAAGGATTCATTATAGGGGTTCTTCTTAGAAAAGAGTCCATCCATGGATCATTCGCAATTTTTTGTAAAGGGTGTATGGACTCTTGCTGAGCTATATATTGTTGTAGAAGTTTTACGAAAGAGAATTTATTATAATTGTTTATGTTTTTGACTCTCTTCAATGATTGTTACGATTGTTTCTGTTTTTGTGAGAGCCTCACGAAAACGTTAAGCACTTCTCTGTTTGTTCAGCTGTGAATCTCGATCATGGTTTCTCCGTGATTACCAACTACAAGTTAGTGTTCAAGTTTCACTTTCATGTTCACCGTCTCCACACACTCTATCATCATAAACATAACCACAACTGCCATTATTCCGAAATATTGCTGTGTCGCAATCAGGGTGAGACTGATTCGTGAGGTTCAATTAATGCTCTTGAGACTCTTAAAATAGGCTAAAGACGAGTACCATTCACACATTCCGATTACTATTTCTTGCCATGTTAATTAGTTTAGGCATGTTCAGAAAATAATCTTTATATCCACTATAACTCTATAAGGCATCTCTATCTATCGTTAGCTAAATAAGGTTTGGTGTATATAACACTTGCTATTTCTCTTGAGGCTCGGAGCGATCATGGATGTTTGATTTTTTAGTAATGGTTTAATATTATATATAATAAAATTAGGAGATAAACAAGAAGAAAATGACAAGGGATAACAAAAAGAAGAAAAAGAGATTATTGGAGAATAAATAAAAGGGAGTAAAAGTCTGGAGAAGAAGAAGTTGAAGAACAAAACTAATAAAAGGGGAATACTTTTTTATCTCTCTAACCGAATGAAGAAACTGAGTAGAAGAAAAAGACTAGACACGTAGAAATTAGAAGATTGAGAAGTTAGAGAAGACAAAACACATAATGTAATCATCATATTTAATGTTTGGTAGGGGTTAGAGTGTACAGTTTATTGAAAGATTTATAATATGAGATTAAATCAGAAAATAAAAAGATGACGATGAAGAGAGAGAGGAAAAGAAAAAAGATTAGAAAGTTTGATAAGAATAAAAAAAAAACAAACGGTAGAAAATGAATGAACAAAAATATGAAAGAAGTAAAAGAAGAAGAAGATAAAATGGGATTGGGGTTTATGATGTACGGTTTATATTGATGGGCGTAAGGTTTAGTTTTAGATTCATTTAAATTTTTTTGAATACACTACCTTACTGATCGAAAACGAAACAAAAAACTTCTTTTAAGACAAAAATAAATATAAAATTCAATCCAGAACTAATTTGTAAAATGTGGAGTTTGGGTGTACGGTTTGGAGTGGGGGAGGTTATATTGTGGGGTTTGGGTTTAGGGTGTAGGATTGTTCGGGGGGGTGGAGTGTGGTGGTGGTGTTACTGTGGGATTTGGGTTTAGGGTTTAGGATTTATATATTATGAAATAGGGTTTAGTTTTTGGTGCATTCTTAAAATTTTGAATTATTATGTACTACATTTCTAAATTACATTCACAAATAGAAAAAAACTAAAATAATTAAAACAAATCCAGAATAAAAAAATAACAAAACCAATAGATTTTTAAAAGATCTCGACTATCTAATGATAAAAACTCTTTTAAAAATCTTTGAAAATATAAACTATCGAATGAAGTGATAGGTGAAATACAAGACGTATAAAAGAACGAATAATAACAATGAGTAAAAGAAAAGAAGACGGTGAAAAAAAAGATGGAAAATTTGGAGAAGAAAAAGAAAACTCGAACATGAGGAAATAAAAATCAAAGAAGAAAAGATGGATGTGAAGAGAAAAAAAAAGACAAAGAAGAGATCAATAAAAACTAGAATAATATGATGTGGTAGAGAGAGGAGGAATGAGGAAGAAGAAAAATCGGAAAAAGAATGTAAAGAAAATTAGAAAATAATAATAAAAATAGTGAGTTAGAGAATATAAAGACATCACAAGAAAATATTGAAAAACAACAATTGAGAAAATAAGAAGAAGAAAAACA